TCCTTCACTCAAGCGTCGGTTATAGCGTATTACGCACACACATTGAAGTGCGAAAGGGACAATCGATCATATTGTACTATCGTTTATCTTCTGTATTACGCATCACTATAGATGATACAGAGAGTGACAGATGCCGAAATATATAATGAATGCGGACACTGCATTGATGTTTGTGTATCTCTGTGTGGGGAACAACGTAAAATCTGTGTAGTTGTTTACTAAAATGAAACACAAATCGGAGCACTAATGCGACCTCTGAAAGGATTATTTCCATAGAGCAGAAATCGATCGGCTTTTTACGGAAGTACTTTTTTTCAAAACAATGAGTCGGTGCGATCGTAGAGCCGCTAGACTTTGGAGGTTACTCAACAAAATCTGTCGCACAGAAAGCAGTTGTGCAGCCGTGCTGTTTGCACATCGGACTTTTTCGCATACACATCGTCGTTCATCGTGTTTCATACAAACGAAGTCAGTACACAGACACGCGTGTGTATGTGTGTATGTATGCGCCGAACGCTCAAAGCCGAGTTCCGTAAGAAGCATGGCTACAGTGATGGAATGAATTGCTAGAGAGCGTTCGGCACATAAGAAACACGATGAACGGACGATGTGTATGCGAAAAGGTCCGATGTGTAAACAGCACGGCTGCACAAGTGCTTTCTGTGCGACGGTTTCTGTTGAGTAGGTCGCCGTTCTTTTACGGCATACGAAATTCATCGCCGGTATTGTTTTGATCACGAACATTTTCATATTTGATTAACACAAACTGCACTTCAAATATATTTTATACATTTTTTTCGCACAATTTTAATCGGAAACTCGCAAAAATGATAGATAATCACAATATTCATTTTTTCATTTATTAAACGTCATTGAAGACCGTGGTTTACTGAGTCAGTCAGTATATCCGTCGTTTTAACAGATGAAATTCATGTCTGGTTTTATTTTTTATACCACAGGATTGCTTAATTGCCAGGGGCTTCTAACTCTGAACGAATATTTCATATAAATACGTATTACCACGTATAAACGTCGTATATTTTGTGCATATTTCACATATAACCCGCCTATACGCCGTTAATTTTAACCATTTCACATATAAACCATTTCGTATAAATAGAGATAAAAGCCCCTAGTTTAATTGATACACATTTATAAAAACATTTTTTGTAAATATTATTCACATTTCATTGTGTCACTGACAACTGTTATCGGATGTAAATATACATGAAGTTGCTGACGTTTATTGAATAACTATACTCAAAGCACTGAAACTTGAACTTTTGTACACATGTGAAGTGACGAAGTAATAATCTCAATTTTAAATTTTATTACTACAATTTTATTAAAAAATTAATCTAACACAAATTAAAAGTTTTTACATATTATTTTTTCAATATTTTTCTCTTACACTTTTTATATGAATATTCGCTGGAGATGGCACTGTAAGTTGCGACGCAAATGCTTTACGTATACCATATACAGCTAGATGATCGCTTCACGATTGACAGTATGCTTCTTTGATTGAGATTTACGCTCAACACTTACCCATGATCTCTGAGCTATTTCTTTTGAATTTTCTTTCATCATTTCATTTTCATTTCCCATTCGAGAGCTATTGAATCGCGATGCCAACGGATTGGCGAGTTCCCTGCCGGGGTTGGTGTGATTGGTGTTATCTGCTTTTTGATTTCATTGATTACATCGACTTCAATGTCCTCCGTGCGGATCAACACATAATAATAATAATAATAATAATAATAATAAATCCCTGTATAAGTGGCGTGAGTTAATGTGTACAGCTACATGGATTACACACAAACAGAGAGCGCAGTATATGCAGCAGTTTAAGAATAAGAATCACAATTATTAAAATCTTGTGTCTATTGTGTAGGAATATCGTTTTATAATAGTGTCAACGTTCGCGCTAAAAGTATCGCATTATAACTGACCAAGACAGTTTCCGAGCTTAGTTTTCCATAAAGTTCTGAAGTATCATAAATTTTTTGAGAGATGAGAAAAGACAAGAAAGTGCACGCTACGCGTTGAGTCTGTTAGAATCCACAAAATGACTCATTTTGGGTCTTGTTTGTTATTTCATAACAAACAATAATTTAGGCGTTACATGAAATGTACTACATTACAATGTATGAATGAAAATTTTCAAATATCGTATTGGTAATAAATAACCTTTTAATCGTAATATTTGAAAAACACAAAATCGAAATTTCGTTTGAATCGTAATTTGTAGTTAGTCACAGATAATAATTAAACATAAAAACAGAATCTGTTTTGGAATTAAAAAATCCAGAGTTTTGAACCCTGAGGAAGAAAAAAAAAAGAAGTTAGTACTCGAGAAAAACGGTGTGTTTGAAGGGGCCGTTGATCAAGTGTTGAAATGCGCTCTCTTGGCATCTTTCAAATACAAGTATTTGAGACTTTGAAGGAATTACATAAAAATAGGCCTGAATTGAAAGGTTTGCGAATATTTTTAGTTGAACACGTGTTTTTTTTCTTTAGTTGTTCTTTTGCCTTCGATGTTTTTTTGTTGCTTTTGCTATCTGCAAGATTTTCTCACATTTATTTATTTTATTTTTTGCGCACGCTCACGCCAATGTGACTCCGCGAAATGTGACGTATGATTTGACACAGAAAAGATCCTTCAGGGTTTTTTTGAACGCTATTTATAGCTTTTTTCACACTACTCGACGAGTGTGTCTTATAATCAGCATAAGTAGTGTATGTCTTTTTTTCCTTTTAATGTCATTTCTAAATAAAAACAGTGCGAAAGATATACTTGATATGTTGTTATTCATATATCTGGATTGTGTATCCTAATCGAAATACAGCAAACAGTTAGTTACTTAACAAAAATTCACAAACACACATCGAAAGAATGCTAAAGACGCAACCATTTCTTTTACGGCAAACATTTAACTTATACACTGATAAAAATAGCGTTCCTTCAGTTTCAGAGCACGCAGTTGCCAAAATTCTCTCAGTCTATATTAAAAATATACAGAACAACAAAGATAATATTATCAAACGCTGACAATAAAAACATTCGTGATAGAACGGTGATCTCCCAAAGATACAACTCTTTTGATACAATAGAAAACAATTATTCCCATTTCATGTAAAATTCAAAAGAAAATATGTATTCATCAGCGATTCGCGTGATACATCATATGATTTGATTATCGTACGTCATTGTTGCTTAGATTGGTCTGAATTTTAACGTATCTCGTCAGAAGTTTATTTTTACAATGAAAAAATTGAGCGAACTCCGGATGGTCATGCGACATTGGGCATTAAATCACATTTTAATTCAGATTAATATCAGATTAAATCGTTAGGGGGTCAGATTGAATTATTCGCGGCGTTTAAGATGGCAATAACAACAGTGGCAGCATCCATATTTCGGCCAAACTATCGATCTCTAGCCAAACGTATCACCAGAACTTAATCCTAATCGTTTTCATTAGTTCGGTGAAATGATGTATTATTTTGACTTTCACTCATACTCTAATCACAATTCTATTCATTTGATTAAAAAATGATACGATTAGAAAACCTCGATTTCATTGAATTGATGAATCGTGACACTAAAATCGAATTAAGTGTTTTCTGTATGCATTTTAAAAGCTGTTCGTAGCTCGCCAGGAACAAAAAAAAACGTCTGCTATTGGACTGTAACTATTATGTAAAATTAAATGACTTGTTGCAATGGTGCTGGAGCTTCTCCGTTATTAGAATATACTAGGAGCTTCATAAATGAATCCGTTGTATTTTGAAGCCGGGTAGCTAAAGTATGGGCGTAGAGTAGCTTTGTATCAATAACATGTCAATACAGTGTCATGAGCGTCACTGTAAGAAAATATGCTGATATACATATAATGTTTGGACAAGGCCAAGGGCGTATGAAATGTACTTACTTTTCAGATTATATATTCTTCGAAACTGGATATCATTACTTCAACAGCGCATTTTTTATCATCTTATCTATGGAAACTTAGTCCATAAATCATCGTTGATTACAAAAGCTCAGCCGTATTATCCAATTATATTTGAATATTTAAATTAACTCATCTTAATTAGATTTGGTTGTTTCCCATATAATTTAATCAAATATATTAGAAATATAATTTTTATTGTTTGTTTTGAGTCTAACACCTAAATGATTTCACAAAATTAACAAATAATAAATTATTTGAACACGCCTGAATGCATTTCGAACTGTGAACAGTTCATCATCAGCATCACGACTGTTTGGAAAGTGCCGATTCAGCATCAATCTGTCATCTCATCGCACGCATAAAAAGTTCACTAGACAAAACACAAATTCACACAAACACGAAACAAAACGCATAGCGAAACGAATTGTTCTCGGTAACGGTTAAATGAGACGGTCGATAAGGCTTGATGTTATATTGCCTTCGTCCAAATTCATTGCATTCGGATCTCTTGATGTAGTAGTATTCATATTTGGATTTCACGTCTGATTCCAAAACAATAAGTCAATATAATTTGTATTCACACAAATTTTTTTTTAAATATGAATAATTACAAAATTTGTGTGTAAATTTCATATAATTGCACAACCATTTTAAGTAAGCAAACATAGGCAACTGCAAATATCATCATCATCATCAACTGCAGTTTGAACGTCGCAGTTTTGTGCTATTTGATGCTACTTTGTGCATTTATTCGATAATGATTTCTCTGGAAAAACAACTCTTGGGGACATTTTTGATTTGTGCATGTTGAACTTACTAACAAACCCAAATCGCAATTTCGGTCATTTTCATTTATTATTCATGGCATTGATGCAAATTACTTGAAAATTGTGAGAAACAATTTTATTATTTAATAATATTTTCGATAATGATTTAGAAATGGAATTATTTTTTAATTATCAAGAAAAATTATTTGTACAAGTTATTCCGTATGAAAATCATTGATTATTTTTACTATTTTTGTTATGTTTTACCCCTCATTAGCGTATCATTTTCAAGAGAATCTTCTAAGGACAATGATTCAAATCGAGAACACATATTTTGAGCTGGGAAAATCCTGTTCCAAAAATTGTCTTATTATTTGTGATAGAGGCGTAATGGATGCAAGTGCTTGTAAGTGTTGAAAGAGGAAGAAATAGAAATCATTTTTAACATTGGTTCTTTACTTTTTTTTATCATGATTTAGATATTTCTAAAGATAAATGGGCAAAAATGACGGCGGCCAATGGTTGGAATGCCGTCGAGCTACGTGACAATCGTTACAATCATATTGTGCATATGGTATCGGCTGCCAACGGTGCTGAAGATTTCTATTCGACTGAGGTAAAAATGTTGCATGAACTAATTGATTAAACTTTGAATAAAGTAGCAGATAGTTTGAAAACGTATGGAGTTTTTTATGGTCCTAGGAGCATGCATGCCGTTCTGAAGGTGTTGAGTTGGCTAGAGATTTGGATTATAAATCAGCCGCTGCTTGGGTCGGCCATCCGTATTTCGATGTCATTGACAATTCAACCGATTTCGAAACGAAAATCAACCGGATGCTCGAATGTGTTTGCCAAAAGTTGGGCATCGATACCGGCGATCGCTTGTTGCGAACATCGCGAAAGCTCAAATTTTTAGGTAAGTTCATTGCTAATTATCAACAACTTATGTTACTCATTATCTATATTGCACTAGTTGAACGCGTAAAGTATACAAAGTATTTATAGAGGATATTGTTATTTCGTCGCGTAAGCAATTCACTTGCGATATAACGTGAATCCCTATATACTATATATCGCAAGTGAATTGCTTACGCGCGACGCGCAAACGAAATCTTACCTCGGCCAACTTCTATGTACCGAATATAGGATTTCACGTTAAATATCGAGTCCACTGCATATATGATGCTTCGGCAACTCACAAATCGCCAAAGCAAGTGAAATGCTAAATCCACGAGTGTGCCGACAAGTCCGTTGCTTCATTGAGTAGGGCAGTAGCAACGATCATGAAATATATGTATTTTTATCAAATTTATCAAGCTTCTTCCAAGTTTATGCATAGTGTCAAACTTTTGTTTAAGCTCTACTACTAGGGGCATTTCTCACGAAAAGAATGAATGAATTCTTATAAATTTTGAAAAATGTCTTCCGTTTGGTCCGATTCGATCAATTTTTATCTATTCGTGTAAATAAATGTTCATTTACACTGAACTTGTGTTCTGGAAGTGGGTTTTGGTGGATCTCAAGGATCGTTCAGAACTGCTCTCGGTTCTGGAAGTGGATCTTCAGGATGGGCCAGGGCATTGTCAAACCGGATCTGGTCCATCCTGAGGATCCACCAAAACCCACTTCCAGAATCGGGTGCAGTTCTGAACGATCCTTGAGATCCACTGAAACCCACTTCCAGAACACTTTTATTCAAGCAATATCGTCATTTCAGTACATTTTCTTACAATTTCAATAAAAAAGAGGAAATAATAGACATTTTTGCACATTTGCTCAAATTTTTTGTGTGAGAAATGCCCCTAGCTCTACTATCTAAATATACAGTAACATTAGCTATGGGCACGACGTTAGATGGCGTTTTTTCTAGTCAAAAATATTGGAATTTCCCTTTGAACATATTTCAAGGTCATGATTGTCTTGCAAAAATTGTTCAAACTTTGACTTTGTTTGTTTATTTATTTCTAGTTGGCGGAAAGCTACCAGCTGATAGCGAATTTCCTGCAGACTTTCAGGATTTCGATGTAGTTCATCATTATTTGCAATCGAATGGCCCAAAATGTCAGGCGCGGTTACGGAAACGTGGCCAAAAAGGCAATTGGTCGTATACACACACGTTACGACGACCACACGTGCATAATCAATCAGTCGAAACCAAAACACAAATCACCCATCGCGATTACATGAACCTATTGGCACAACGCGATGATGCCCATTTTACTATTTACAAAAAGCGGCGATGCTTCTTAGTCAATAACCAGTATTTCCAACTGGATGTGTACAAAGAACCCAGCCATCCAAGGTAAAAAAAATCATTACAAGGTCACTCAAATTCATTATCATCTTCATTTTAAGAACAAAATCTTCGTTTTTCATTCAAATTGTCTAGATGTAAGGGTCTGATGCTCTTGGAAACGTATTCATCACTTGACGGTGAAAAACTGTTGAATTGTTTGCCAAAATTCTTAAACATTTTGAAAGAGGTGACTGGTGATCCATCGTTTTCCATGTTCAATCTGTCGTTGAAAGAAGACTGGAGCAAAACGAAAAAATTCTGCCATTCGTTACACGGTAAGGACCAGAGATTGGAACAAGCATATACTCGTTATGGTGCTGCTGAAGTGCAAAGAAATGGCACGGTACAGTTGAATAACCATAGCGATAAAGTTAATTGTGAACAAAACAACCATGAAAATTATGTGCATAGCAATGAAAGTCATACATCTGACAATACAGCACATCCAATTGCCAATTCAAATTCACCAAACTAATGATTTTTAACCTTATAACTACGCACATATGAAGCGGAAAATGAGAGAGAAAGAGAGTTAGAATAGATAGTTAAAAAAAGAGTGGAATTGAACAAATTGTTGTAATATCTATTGAAAGTAAATCATTTTACAAGTCAAATTTAGTGATTGAATTTGTCATAAAAATGGGCGAGATTGAACAAGACATATTCTGATATTATATGCAAACGCGCTCCGGGATTTTCATACAAACTTCCCATGTTGACAATCAAACACAGCTGAAAGTCTTGATACTGATATATTGCGTATCCATTGTCCAATCCATTGGAAATTCCACATCGCAAATAATACTGTATAATATACTGTCACAGCGCCGTACCCAGAAATTTTTTTTGGAGGGTACAAAATCGATTTTTTTTTTGTTCATTTTTTTCTTTATGGTGCAACAAAAAATTTTGGAGGGTGTAATGCACCCATTGTACTGGCCTGGGTACGGCGTTGTACTGTCAGAATATGTCTTGTCTTCAATCTCATCCACTCAATCTCACCTATTGACTTCATTGTTCTTCGACTAATTTATTCTCGCTTGAATGATATTTTTCTAAAATTTGGATAGTGAAATTCAATTCCAACCATTTTAAAATAAAAATGCAGAAAACAAATTGATATCATGTTCGATTGTATGCTATTGAAAACTATATGTTTTTTGAATGAAAACAAGATAGATTCAAATTAGTCAAACTAACTCATAGCTGATCAAGCCATTGTGTAATTGATTTTTTGCATTTAAATATTATGTAATAGGAAAAAGAAATGTGTTAATTATAGTTAATAGTGACATTAAAATGTGTAGAGTAGTACATTTCCTTTTTCAAACTTACATTATATATATAAAGGGTGTTTTTTTTAAATCCGTTTTTTTTTATATTGAAATAAAACACACAAAAATTCTTTGACAACAATTGCTGTTGGTTTGTTTTTGTAGCGTATGGTATGCCATTTAATGTCCGACATGCAGTTCAGGGATATGACCACCACTTCACCTTTTTTACCCACCTTTCTTGACAGACCATTTTTGAGCTATTTTTGGGGATTTTGAAGTCACACTCCCATAATTTTATGAATTTTGTTGAACTTTAAAGCGTAAATCGTTTCATTTTCATCTGAGTAAACAAAAGAATTCATGAATCCCGACGGGGAGTAGCACATAGCCGTAAAATAGGGTCATTTTGTTGGATGATGTACAGATTGCATATTTGAAATTTTGGGAAAAAAAACTTAAACGAGACAGTTTCTCCAGTAAATTGATTTTTTGCTCAAAATATGCTATGATATGGACATTTTATTAAATCCAGTGATCATTCAGACCAATTTTGTCAAAAACAGCGGAAAATTTGTTTTTGGGTATTGCCCAAATGGCTGAGAATAGAGGCTGCTCGATGAAACCAGATTACTGCCCAAAAACAGATTTTGTCACTCTGTACTAATGAGTTTTGGGCTAATTCGTATTTATTTTGTTATTTCATGGAAGTTTTGGCCAAAACCCGTCCATATTTTGAGCAAAAAACAACTTTTCTGGTCAATTATAAGCAGAAAAGAGAAAAAAAAATAAGATCGAAAAATTTTGTGTCGGGAAGACCCCCCAAAAAGGAGGGGTGGTGGTCACATCCCTGAACTGCATGTCGGACATTAAATGGCATACCATACGCTACAAAAACAAACCAACAGCAATTGTTGTCAAAGAATTTTTGTGTATTTTATTTCAATATCAAAAAAACGGATTTAAAAAAACACCCTTTATATATATAATGTAAGTTTGAAAAAGGAAATGTACTTATTTTATATTTAATGTATATTTACTAAACATTAATTTAATACTAAACAGAAATTTTATTCAAACAAGTTTAGTTCGTCAATCGGGTGCATTCAACTAGCTTATTTGAGCCATATTATAAAATGGCTCAAACTTTATCTTTTATCACTTTCTTGTGTTTTTATTTTCATTTGAATAATTAAAATATATAAACTTTAAAAACACAAAAACAGATGCCATAGTTTTTACTACAAATTTATAATTGAACCATTGCGACAAAAAAATAAACCCTCGAAATATTTTAGTTTTTTCATATAGAGTTGTTGTTGTAAACGCTATATAAAAAAATTTCATGTTGCACTTTGAAACCAAAATATTCTAAGAGTATCTTTTTGTCACAAAGATTCATATAGCATTCTAATTGCTATGCATTTGCATAGTTATTATGCATAGAGTATATCATATTAGATTTTATTGTTTTCTGTTGTTCACTATGTAAAATGCCTAAACAACCGCATAGCAAATTAAATACTATTGATGTATGAATACATACATACATTAATGTAATTACACTTTTCAAGATAATAGAATATTGTGTTTATTTCTCAAGAAACGGGAGCTTTTTGTATTTATTGTTTGCATCCTGAAAATTCATTTATTTTTATTATTATTGCCATTATCATTATTATTTTTAATATTACTGAGCAATCTTCATTACTTTCGAATTTTCTTATGTTTTGTGTATTTTTATCGTTTTGTTATTTTCTTCCTTCTCTGTTTTTCGGTTTAGATCTAGATGACATTGTTGTTACCAACGGATGTTCTCCGAATAATAAACCAAAATTGATAAATGGAACGGCTTGATGGCTCGTTTTTGATAACATAAATACATATGAATACACACATACACAAAAATTGTATAAACATTTAAAATGAAATCGTTTAAATTTTGTGAAGATTTGCTATTTATATCGATTGTTACTTATTTTAAGCGCCATCTTCTTTCTACTACAAAAATTTGGAATTTTGATTTATAATTACACTTTTTGCGAAAAAAAAAATAGTAAGAAAGAATTTATTTGATTATTTTGATCTGGGTTAAGTATTATTATTTGATAAATGGAAGGAAATAAACATAATTTAATAAATATTTGTTTTTAAAGTACTATAATACTGAAAAATATTGTTTGAATTTCAATACCACTGAATTTGGGTTTGTAAATGCTATTGAATCCTATCAAAAATATTTCTTCATTTTTTTTTTCAATTGAATATCAAATCAATTGCAAATACTTGTAAAATACGTTAAAAATTTGTTAATTGAGTCTGGGATTTAGTTTGAAAAAATAATTACAGATCTATTAAAAAAAAAATTGTTCAATCGAATCAAATATGGAGGCTACGTTTTTATTCAAGGGTTAAACCAACTTAGATGCGAAATTATTACTGTGCAAAAAAATCAAATCTAAGTTGTCATTTTGTTCTCGCACATTTATTTGAAAATTCATAATAATTTGAATGGTTTGGAGCGAAAATGTAATACAGAAAAGTTGAGCGGAAAAATGTCGATGATGAATGAGCGGAAAAGGGATAGCTATATAAAATAGTATTTTAGTAAACTGTATAGTAAACTATAGTGAACTATATAGCTATCCCTTTTCATTTGACATTTTTCCGCTCAACTTTTCTGTATTACATTTTCGCTCCAAACCACTCATTTCTCTTTCGACACAAATGTAACCGAACAGATAGAACGACAAATCTATAGACAGTAGGCAAAAACTTTTCAAATTGTTACTATCAAATATGTACTAAAAAAATTCTGGGTGTAAAAAAATTATTGACATATTTTTGTAAAATTAAACTATTCAGTGTGGATTATTAAGAGAAACAATGGAAATAAACTTATTTGCGTAGTCGAATTTCTTCTTTACTTTTTGCTTTATATCTTCGATTTAGAGTTATAATTTCCACTATATGAAATGCATGATTAAAATGCTCTCGTGGAACGAAGTTCAGCGCCAACAGTTCAGAATCAAAATCAGATTGCATATTGCAATATACCAATTTCCATTTTAATCTGTGCACTAGCGAGCATTTTATAGCATCACAATGTTTGAGAAAATAACAGAAAAGCCATTCAAAAAAGAATTAAAATATTTTCACATTTTGCACTGTTCATTAGTCAAAAATTGAAAGAAAAAAGATTTCAGTGTCTTTTTTTACTAAATCGGCCGGCATATTTTCCGACCACTCATTGTTTTGTTCAAACTAAGCGTCAGACAGAAAAAATGGTCATACGTTTTTTTTAAATTAGTTCAAGGCATTGAATCTAAGCAGCTTAGAATTAAAAAAAAAACTATCCTGTAAGATACCCGGTTCGAAAATAAAATTAACAATCCATTAAAAATCTCAGTAGTTTCAGTTTTTTCTTCGAATTTCATCATTTATATTCGAAATAATGACAACTGAACGATTTATTTTGTGTTGAAATTCGTCCAACGAGAAATAGTGTTGTCTGATGTGAATTGGCCCGGGACACACACAATATGCCTCTCTTTTTGTCTTATCATTAGCATTTCATCAACAACTATATATATCATACCCTAAACAAATCGTTGTTGTGTTATGAAAAGCGTCGTTTTGTTTGTGTTGTTTTTTAAGCATACAAAATTCATCAACGAAAACGCGTACGCTGTCGATTTACGTCGAAGCGCATTTTAATTGCGATTCTTCTTGTTATAATAAAGAACGAAATGAATTCATTGGTATCCGCTGACTATGGATCCAGCAGTGATTCAAATGACGAAAATACACATATAAAGAACATATCGTCAAACAATTATGTGAAAAACTTTTTAAGATCTCCATCTGACTCCGCGAACGATATAAATGACGATGAAGATGACGATTCTAGTGACAGTTCGGACGAACGAGTAAGGTAAATTAGATCGCATTTAATGAAAATCGAAAATTGTAATTTTCCTGAAAAATATTTAATGAGGGATTATTTATTTCAGCGATACAAAGAAAACGGTTCTACCAAGTGCCTCATCAATTTTATTGAATGGAAACAATAATTCCGGACAAGTGTTCAATAATCCGTATAAAAAAGCAGAAATTGATCAAATTGCCAGTCTTGAAAAACATGTGAAAATGGTGTGTAGGTTCACGTGAATTTTGGTGTAGGTTCTATAAAAATGATTATTTTTGACAGGTTGAAACTGATGCCCACACACATATGAAAAATGGCAAAAAGATTTGTTGGAACTATCGGAAGGGTCGGTGTCGTTTTGGGTCGAATTGTACATATGCACATGATTCTGATTTGCACGTGGCTGAGTCAACCATTACAACTGATAAAGATGCATACACACAACCAGCTATCAGTGTACCGAAGGTAGTCACCGGAACCACCACATCGAAAGCAAACAATAAGAAACGTCCTGGTTTAGGGGATTCAATTATACCCAGTAAAAAAGTGATAAAGGCCTACAATACATTGAAGAAATAAAACATGTAATTTGCTTATACACCAATATGCATGCATCATCAGCTTCAACCCGGTTTTTGACGTTTTGTGCACTCTGTATAAAAATACTTCTGAGCACCACACACTTGATTATTCCCAACAATTATAATTACCATAACGGATACGAACTAATTTGTACAACGTATCTTTTTCTCAAGCGAGAAAAACAGAAACAATGTGATTTTTTATTACAACAAAAACTACAACAACAACAATAAACACGAATAAAAAGAATCTATATCTATATATATATATATATATATATAAAATTTTCTGTTCGTCTGTCGATGTATGTGTGTCTCTTTCGACTGCCGTTTTTCGCGGCCTAGAAAATGTTCATGGAAAAACCGTTTTTAGTAGACCTCAAAATGTTTATTATGATACGTTTTATTATCAGTTTTTCTTTTTGAGTCTTTTTACAGTTTTAAGTTCAAATGAATTTTGAGAAAGAAGAATTGTAGACGCAATTCTAGAATTTTTAACAAAAATAAGGGAGAAATCAGCAATGATTTGAATCAAGTGATACCAGTATTCGTAAGATGCACCATACAGTGAATATCCGTTTGGTTTTGGTTGCTTTTCAAAATTCGAATTATTCGCTCGTTTGATGGTTCAGTCGTTGTAAAGATCGATTTAGAATTAGTAGAATCAAGCTTGCGCTCGATTCGTAAACGTAATGAACATATTGAATTCCAGTGCTTTCCAAGTGCTGGCAGCAAAGCCGACGTTGTCTTTGGCGACTCCGTTTGATTCATCAAATCCATTTCATTTTGGTTCGCATCATCGATTGCACTCTTATCACCTGCGCACCCAAACCCAACGAAAGTGGTTCTAGTTTCAATATTTATCGTTATAACAGCAATTGAATATTCCACAGCCAATTTTCTCAGTAGGTCAGCAAGGATTGCTAGATTTCGTTGGTTTAAACTTCGTTTGTTGCCGTGAAAGAGAAACCATAGGGTCGGCAATGAATCGATGACAAGTAACTTAACCTTTGGATGCGAGGACATTTGATCCAATAAACGTCGCATAAGTGCTATTAATTTGAACGGACTATTGCATTTTTCCACTTTGATATTACGCATAATATGTTTACGTTTATCAGCACCCAATTCGTCGCGGCTCAACAGAATTCGATTTATTCGATCACCCGAAAAATCTCCCTTGGTATCCACAACAAACGTGTGAATATCATCATTGGTAGCCCAATTCACGGCGATCGTTGTGTATAGTTGCGTTTTTCCTGAACCTGACAGGCCGCAAATATCGATCAGGCCTCCACTTAAAACACCACCGCCCAGCAATTCATCTAAACTGAGAGTTGTTCTTATTAAAGGACTGAAGGAATGGAATTGACATAATTGAATATAATGAATGTGAAACCTTTTGATACCGGTCGGAATATAATTCGACTGATTTATAAGTATATTGTAATGTTGAAGTCCGTTAATCGGTAAAATTCCGAGTATACTCCATAAATCCTTTTTCAAGGTACCCAAATCGATCAAATCTATAGAAAGTATGGAGATAATTTTTTTTTTCAATTTTATGAAATGAATAATTGAAATATGCTTTCAAATGTCATCTTTAGTGAGATAATTTCGGATTATCTTTGGTATAAATTTTTCCTTTTCTTCTGTCATAATTGTCTCACCAATATTTAATAACTGTTTCAATTTGTTTGAATCGGTGTGAAGAAATTCAGAAACAGTAACAATGTTTTTCTCTTTGAGCACTTCAACTACTCGATCACTGAGCATAGCATGATTGAGTGTGCATAGTTTCAACATCTTTTTTCCAGCACAAAAATGTTATCTTATTTTAACTTTTCAATCAACACCTCTGAACTTTATTCAATGAACAAAATTATGGCTTGATTTAGGTTTAAAAAAAACTTGAAATGCTTTTTATATATTTCGATTAACTGACATTTACATTTATGACAATTAAATACGCGGTATTTTCCAAGACTTTGAACCGTAAGTGAGCAACCAAATAAATCTATTTACAAAATAATACATTTCCTTTCTCTAAAAAGAACCATTGAAATTTTGACAATATGCGAACATAAAGCATATTTATTTTCAAAAGAATAAATAATTCTTCAAAATTTTTTTAAATTTATAGCAGTCGGCTGCGGCTGGACAGCCCTGCAACATGACCGGAATGCTATATTTGTACCGCATCGTAAGCGGTTCATTTTCGCTCTGCTACAACAACAACACTGCGGGTTAGAGCGATATCAATATACGCTGGGTATTTGTGCGACACACAAATGTAGGCTTGGTCGCAGCATAAACCGATGAACTGAATTCAGTTTCCGACATACTGAGCTGCTGTGAGTATCATATTTGAAAACTGTCGTGTGCATACAATTGAAGAAGAGAAAAAGAAGAAGAAGAAGAGAATAAAAAACATTATAATTCAACCGTATATACAATTTGCTCGTAGTGTGTCCCTTTCTCCCCCAGCTGAATTCTATTTAGTTTTCATCCTATTCTGTTTCATTCGTTTGAAACTTTTTGGTTGTGTGCAACCAGCGTTATAGAGAGAAAAAAACCTCAAAAGAGAAGTGGAATATTTTTTGGTTCGTGTTTTGGGAAAATTGCAAAAATTCACTAATATCAAGTGAAAAATATTAAAAACGTTTATGTGAAAAACATTTATTAAATTATTGGCTATCGATTGGTGATTTTTTAAACGATCGATGGTAATGAATAATTCGGAAAAATTGTGATTTTGTTGGCAGTAAGTATGGCGTTGTCTACGACATAAAAAATATAAAATCAATTTTATTCAAAGATGGCTGCGCGTTTAGCGAACGAGTACAGAGAGAGAATACGACACCAAACTACACCATACAAAAACAACAACAACCATATACAAACGATAAAATCAAGACATTATATAGCATACCGAGTTGCTTTTACACAATTAGAATTATTTCCGCCTGTTTTCTGTACAATTTTTTAAAATTATATTTCATATTTTTTACATACATTTCCCTTCTGACTGCTTCTGATATATCAAGCTCATACAAACCATTTAAATATGCGAAATGTCCGAGATTAAATGTTCTTGTGTTTCTTCTTTGGCGTTTGTTTCGTGATTTGCTTTTCTTATTTCGTCAAATTGTGTCGGATTTTCTAAGTTGAAGGTGTATTTTCTCCATTTTTGATATCATATTGATGGATTGAAAGTTTTTTTTTCTTGCGGTATCATTCTCTTGTAACCCTTTAACTTCTACCGACAATTTTTTTGTAGAACTTGAAAAAGCGCAAAATAATATCTTTCTCGATTCTTGTAATAGATTCCTTTACGACATAATTTCTATTACACGATCATGCTATATTATATATCTTGTGAATATGCCACTATTTTTAATTGATTTCAAAGTAATTTTTGAATAATTCGCCGGGCCGGGATCAATTTATGTTGGAGATTAGGCCGTTTTCTTTCAATTCAGCGTGTATTTAAAGCAGCAATTCAATAAATCCTAATAGATTAATCAGAAAGGAAATCGATAGAAAAAAAAAATACCGCTACCAATGTGTAATTTAGTGTGGTAAGGTATTGATTGAGTAAAGCCAGTCGTATTGGTAAAAACAAAACTATAGCGATACCGGTATAATGGATATCTGTGCGTAACTAATGTCCAATACTCGAAAGTGCGCTGAGCATAACAAGTCGTTCATTCAATAGATCTTGTGTTGCATACGTATATGCTTCACCAACTAATAGGATTTGTCAAATAAATGGCACAAAATAATTGTCTACTAAAGTTGTACACTCTCAACGATCTGTTGTTCAATGTTTGGAAGTATTTCTCAGAATTCGTCGTCTCGCATCAAAATGTGTTTACTGTTTAGTGTTCACTTTCGCCAATGATGTTTAACCACACGTTTTTGCAGAAAGTGGGATTATTCTTTATATTTCATACGAGATTTTTTTTCTCAAATAGATGCTACTAACATGAATGAAGGTGAATCAGCAGGAGAGAGACCAAATATTGGTTTCACTCCTGCTGTAGTAAACCGCAGATCGATTCCGAATCCAAGTGCTAGCTTAGTAGTTTCGGTAAGAATGGACGCGTTTTTTCGTCAATATTTTGATTTTTCTATGTGAACGAGCATCGGATATCCGGTTTATTATACTCCCCGGTCTCTCTTCTCCTCTGGTCAAATGAATTTATATTTATTTCATTGATCTCCCCCTCTTCCTTTCAATCAACTATAACAGAATTCCCATATTGGTCCTTCTGCGGTGCCAATATCTCAAATGTCTCAATTACCTGAGAGCACGGAAGGTACGTGCATTGAAAAAGAACCGAAAATACGTGCGCTGCCGGGTAAGCACGGTAAATTCCTGCTTTCTCCGTCGCGAGCCGATTCACAAATACGGGACATTACCAGCAGTATATGTATAAACAGCGGCGGAAACAATAGCAGTATAGCAACCACATCGATTGTCCGAAGTGGGAAGGTAGACGAGAGCAGCGGTTTTCTGACATCTTCACAACAATATTCCAGTCTTCAACAGACAAAACGACAAATGAGAACGCAAAATGCATTCGTTAGCAGCAGCAGCAGTAGTAATAGTGTATCGAACAATTGTGATTCAAAAAGTTTGAATGAAGTAACGAAAACGGTCACGTCGCAAACAGGAGTGCTAGCAATAATAGAAAGCACAGAAAGTAAGTGTTTATTCACAATACATTTTATCAAAATTGTTTGGAAATTCACAATCTTATGTATGTCAATAGTAGCAATGATTACTGCTTTGTATGATTGCAAAGACAAGCCAAGATAAAACAAAACAAAACAAAATCATTCTCATGCCACAAATTTGGTTTTTTTTCCTAAACATAGCAACAAAACCCGTCTCAAATACATTAACGCCATTAAAAACCAGTGTAACGTCTGATTCGTCTACCGTGGGTACAATTACTATTCATCAGCAGCAACAATTACTCGCGAAAAAGCGCAGTGCCCAAGTGCTGGGTACAGATGCCGACAGTATTAGCCAAATTAAGAAACGAAACCTTAATCATCGACTGCTTCGGTTGAAGCAAATCAAAGAGAATCATGCGGATAATGTTGCCGAAATTTATTTTCTTCAAACCGGCGGTAGTATGATGGATTATCACACGTGGCGTCGAAGGGCGATGACAGCGGAATTTGCAAGTTTCATGAAGCAATATCGCTTGGATCCGAACAGTGCCGAAACAACATCGGCCAGCATCACAACAACCACACTAAGTACATCAACAGCATCACCAACAATACAAACCGTTGGTCAGCAAATCCATTCACAGAATGCAACTCAAACTCAACCACCGCCACTCATATCAACGAATTCACCACACGGTAAGCAGCTATTATGTTCTATTGTTAATTCTAATATTTTTTCGTTATTTTGTTTGGCTTTCTCTCATTTTCATCACTCTCGGAAATATGTGTTTGTCTCTGTTTGTGTCTCTAATGCATAAAAAAGCAGTTGTTTTTTCATTAAATCAAAATCAAAATCGAAACCTGAACGATTCCCCGTTTTCTCGTTTGGCAGGCGTCGAAATCAAAATTCCAGGCGTTGGTGTTACACCGGTCGCAATCTCAACCACATTACCAGCGGCCGTAGTGCAGCTTAGTCAATTAGGTAAACGAGAAAGACATGCAATTTTCCTCCGGATTTTTTTTCAAAACTTTTTATTTATGTTTTTCAACACCTTTTTCCGTTGATGTTTGGTTTGTTTTTGGTCCAGTTTTAAGTCTCTCTTATCAAAATATTTTTTCTTTATTTTTTTTGTTTTCTTTGTTTCGAATTTTATTTTTTGTGAATGTTTTCTGCCCCACCATTTTTCAACGGAAACTAACAAACTTTGAATATTCAAAACTCCACTAACACATTGATGAACCGCGCTCAGAATAATACACGGCTTATTTTGACTCTTTTCCTTTTGATTGCGCGTTTTACAGAAAACAAAACTGTCAGCAAACTTCTCCTTTTTGAACTTTTCGATTCGTTTAGTCTTTTTTTTAAATTTCTCTCGTGACTCATTTTTTTATTTGATTTGTTTCTTTATTTGTATGACTGTTGAGTTTTTCTTGTTCTTTGTATTTTTGTGTAAAACACTAAAAAAAATACTCTCTACTACTGCACACACTAGATACATTTACTCATGCATACAATTTTGTTTTGTGCCAAAATTCGTAATTTTTAATCAGAGTTCGTTATGTTTTTTTTTTATTGAAAATGTGTAAATACCGAAACAAATTTGCTTAAATTCAATTTTGGCGCATGGTTAATTCAAGCGCATTTCCTAATTTTGGAGTAGGATGCACCGATTTCTGGTTCAACGCGCACATCGACATTGAGTGATTGATAGTGAACCGACTTATAAATCGAACCCTTCTCTATCACAACCACTTTGAAAATGAAGTTTTTCTTTGGTTTACTTATTTTATCTTTGGAAAAAATGACCATAAATTTCTATATTATTCATTTCAAAACTTTGAATTGATTTTATTGAATATTTAGATCAAATTGGCAAGAGAATGATCGAATGGTCTAAGAGTTTAGGTTCGCAACAATAGCACCAACAACAACTACAATACACATAGAATCAAATTTAGCTTAAGAAACTTAGAGAGAAAGTTTAAATTAAAAGAAATCCATTAAAATTGTATTGTGGATTCACATACACGCCAACACACATATTATGAAAAACATAATTTCATTTCCTTTTTTTTAAATTATTTTTGTTTCTTTTAGTCTTTCATTTTTCGTTTATTAAGAAAAAACAAAAAAATTATCAAATTTTTGTCTAAAATTCACATTTCATTTGAATCAAAACCAAAAAAATTGCATATCCTGTCTATCTTACTCTGTCACTCACAAAATCACAAATCAAAACAATCAAATTAATTTTCGTAGGTAATGTGCCCGGAAGACCACAAGGTGGTCGTCATGGTATGGTCTTTGGTCAAATTCCAGTATCATCAATTACTGTGCCACTGGTGCCAGGTAGCACCTATAAATTATATCATTATTATTTTCCCTCAAATTCTTTGTTTTTTATTATATCTTGTTTATATTTATTTCTTAATTTTATTATTTAATTACATTTTTCTTTCAATGTTACCCGTTTAAATTGCTAACTTATGTTGAAATTCTGTTCATTTGTTGAGCTCTCTGTTAGAGTCGATTATAAAAATGTATTATATTTTAAATGTTCTGAGTTGAATGTTTTCCACTGAAGTTACCTTTTGACACGTCTTTAGTTGGAATCAATGCGATTCGTTTATTTGAAATGAGATTCATTGGCATGATTCTAATTTTTGCTTATATTTTGATTTCACGGCTAGAAACATTGCATGTATTTTGATTTGAGCGCTGGTGATATTCTTACCATACAAGAGCGATTTTTTAGTCAAAAATTGTAACTATCCCCACATCCTATTCTTTTAGCTCTCTTCTTTATTTCTATAGCGCTTTTGGGTGCTTCAAATTTTTCGTATGACTTTTAGTATCATCATAAAAAGAGACCGTGTGGATTTAGAATGTAGTTCCGTACGAAAAATTTTATTTCCGGTTCCCATCAGAAAATTTCCTTTCCAAAATCAAATTTTCTATGGTGTGAGATATTGTCACATATCAATTCCAGTAATGTTTTGAATTTCTGTTAATTTTTGGAATTTTCTTGCACATACAATTAGGGTGTTTTTCATAACCTGAAAAAGAGAAATGATAGATTTTGAATTAAAGAGAGAAGAATTCTGCATCAATTACTCACACAGAAGTACTTTTACAACATGCACGAATTCTATTGGTAATTTGACAGATCACCACTATTACTATTGGTGAGCATAGTGATTTTATATGTATTGTATCGCTCTGCTGTGCGATATTACAACCAATACTACTTTGTGACATAGTTTGCTCCGAAGCGTTGAACAAATTTTACTTACCGTCATATGATGCATTGAAGAAATCATATCCATATCACGGTAATCTGATGTCAATTTGACATTGTCATACCGAAAAATGAAGATGAATGTTCAGATCATTAAATAACGCCTATAAAACCACTCATGTGTGGCACATAGAGTTAGACATCTTATGCACCTGAAATAGCCCACTAAGTGCAACGCTTCAGAACTCCAATAAACTATTAGAAAATATTTATTAAAAAAACTTTAATGCTAAATGCTGGATTTTGAATTTACAAAGTCTTACACGTTCATCTGGTGGGGCATTCGTTGCACTTCTTGAATCGTTTTCTCTTCGTCCATATCGGGAACCGTTTGAAGCATCTGGCTCAATGTTGTGATGCCATGTACTCATCGACCAACCGAACAACACAATTGCCACGTCTTTTGAAGGCTGCAATCAGCTTGCCTGCAATAGATATTACGCTGTGTATTTTTACGAACGTGCGTAATGCTAGGAACCAATTGCATTCTACGAATTCTTTGATGTTGAATTGGTCTGGATCATCCAAGCTGTAAGGTGCGCTAATAAGAAAAAGCTCTCTCAACAGCATGTTCAATTTCAGTATGGCATTTGCATTGTCTCACGTGGAATCTCTTCGTTTGTATGTGTAGTTGATGGCATTTTTGATATCCTCACTATCGAATAATTCGTCCAACTCGAGATCTCCAGACAGACACATGTGATTCAGTTCGTAGCATCGCATTTCGAAGACGCTGTTCGCAATGCGTTTTGAGGTTATCTTCCACGTTTGTTGCTATTGTTCGCGCAAGAATTTGAACGAATTGCCAAAATACGTGTTCGTTAGCCATGGAAACCATGCGCCAAGAATGGTAATAACTATTTTCCCGAAACCTGGGTCCATAAAGATATGATCTTTGGTATAGTTTTGCCGCAGCACACCGTAGAAGCACTTTTTGATAATTTCATCGCCGTTAAGTAAACTCGTTGTCGAATTCATCGACTGCCAAGAACAATGTTTTTTTGTTCAATTTGATTGAATCGAATCGGGTCAAGACATCCCTATGTAAACCCATACACAGTTTCTTATAATACTGCTTCTTCTTCTTCACACTGTCGTACACAATGGGCGCGACCATATTGAAAATGTATACAGTGTATTGCGTGCCATTTGTGAACATTATAACCAATATGGCGACTTATATGTATAGATGTGTTAGTTAAGAAGAAGAAGCAGTCGCACTGCACCGTTCGCATACGGACGGGTCAAGATGATCGTACAATGTATGTGGCGAAACAATCCAAAATGTAGAAAAAACTTGCCAGATATAGGAAATGGAGCGATGTTAGGATTGAGATTAGCGTTGCCATGACGCCCATTTCCCCAATCACTGTTGTCAAAATCAGTCGATACGGTTCTTGGATGATGGTTGTTAGTTCCAATTTCACTGTTGATAACCTCTCCTCACTTCCATTTCCGCGAGCTCCACGGGCTCCACGGGCTCCACGGGCTCCACGGGCCATAATGAAAAACTACTTAACAAAAAAAAAGTTAACTTAATTGGCTTAAAACTAAATACACCATCAAAATACAATTGGTAAATTATTTGCGAAAATGGTCCCAAAATCAAACGCCTAATGTGAAACCAATACACAAATCGAAATTCTTGTAAGAAGTTTGTTTACACTTCGATTGACACAGAGTAGTCGGAATGGTTGTCATTTCAAACGTTTGAATTTTACAGATGCTGGGTAGCGTTCCGAAAACACGAAAACATGTATTCAAATTAGACATTTTTTGTAATTGATGCAGAACCATTTCTCTTGTTCAGATCATGAAAAACCCCCTAACATACATAAATAATCTTGTTGAAAATCGTAACAACCGCGCAAAAATTCATATTATAATGTCTTTATTTTTATTGAACGAATTTTACTTTATTTTCGAACTTTGGAATTTTTTTCATTAATGGATTTTTGTACTGATTGGTATGTTCATAAATGTGTTTTGCAGGTGGAACACCGTTAGTACCTGATACGCCAAAACGAAGTATAGCCGAAACAAAGAAAACATATTCATTGTCAACGCCTACGAATACTCAACAAACAACAAACGCTACTGCTGGTAGTAGCAATGGGCCACAGGAACAATTTATGAAGGTACGTCAAGAGGCATCTGTCATGCAGAGGATATCGGAATTGCAGCGTGAAGGATTGTGGACAGAAAAACGTTTGCCAAAGTTACAAGAGCCACAACGACCCAAAGCGCACTGGGATTATTTGCTCGAAGAAATGGTTTGGCTAGCTGCCGACTTTGCCCAAGAACGAAAATGGAAAAAAGCGGCTGCTAAAAAATGCGCGCGTATGGTACAAAAGTATTTTAGCGATAAAGCATTGGCAGCACAAAAAGCCGAAAAGGCCAAGGAGCTGCAATTGAAACGTATCGCCGGCTTCATTGCGAAGGAAATCAAAATCTTTTGGTCGAATGTCGAAAAATTAGTGGAGTTCAAACAAGAGACTAAAATAAAAGAGAAACGGAAAAAAGCGTTGGATCAGCATTTAAGTTTTATTGTTGATCAAACGGAAAAATATTCACAACAACTGGCTGTCGGTATGAATAAATCTCTTACCGACACTGCCAACACATCCACCGCCGTTAGTCTTAACTCCAGCCGAAGATCATCACCACGAAGAGATGTAGCATCAGACGGTGAGTTCCAATTGAATCGGTAAGAATAATCTTGACCTTCCAAATTGAGTGAAAATAAATGTGAAACATAGAGTTTTTTTTATATGGACTTTACAATAACTACTCCATATAAAAAAAAACTCTATGTTTCACATTTATTTTCACTCCATTTGGCAGGTCAAGATTATTCTTACCGATTCAATTTTTGTTTTAACACTTTCCAAAAAAATATACTAATCAAAAGAGAACACGAATGATGTTACCACTTCTACCATCCCGCTGAATCGATATTCATCCTCTATCTTTGAGGATGAACATTTTTTTTTGGATGAATCTGCACGAGGCATTTGTCTGACAATATCGTTTTCAATTGAAAATTGTATATGGTATTATTTCCTAATTGAAACATGTTAACATTGAAAATGTTCTTATAATATTTCAGACGAGTTTTTGCCTGGGAATGCATTATCCGATGATGACGAAGAAACTATTGCCAAAGAAGAGGAAGAACAAGCAACCGATACAAAAGCCGAAATAGCCGCCTTAAAAAAAGAATCCGAAATGGATTTGGACGATTTAGACTTTTTATCCGATTACTTGAAAAATCGCGATAAAATAATTTTGTGCGAAGTTGAGAATGACGATGATGATACAAATCAGGAGGCACCAAAACGTTTGGCATCCAGAAGACGTGGAAATATCACTGAACTTAAGGCTGAGGAAGAATCAAATGTAAGTTAAACTTCTTCCAAATAGAAGTTTTATTCCAATTTTTATAGTTAAAAAAGTTCGCTAAAATGTACGGCGTGTATTCCTTGCGCACGCTACGTTTATACCATTTTCATGCTTACGCTTATTTTATACACAGTTTGATACAAAGTTGAAGGAATATTTTAAGCATGAAGCGCAGAATAATAGCGTAGAGTGGAAGCGTCAGCGTATTCTGACAGTTACAAGTTTTTGACAAACTAGAAAATGTTATAGAAAAATATGTTGGGTGTATGTTAAAACTTAATGCGAAAATGGTTTAATTTTGCAGGAAGCGAGCAGCAAGCGTTACACTTCGAAACGAAAAATCGAGCGTATGGAACTGGACTCAGACGATGATTGTAAGTGATTTGATTTTATTTGCGTTCTTTTTTCTTCAAATATATTAAAATAATTGAAATGATGTTAAAACTCCTACCAACCTGCTGAACCTAGTGCTTGAACTCTATTTTTGAGACCTTGCACTGCATTTTGGATGAAATCGAACGAGGCATTTGTCTGAATTTTCTACACAAACATTTCTTTCACATTGTTAACTAGACAGTTCAAAGAAAATTAAATAACTCTCATTTATACTGGTAATCATATAGCGACAACCGTTGAGGACGACGATGAAGACGATGATGATGAGGACGAAGATAGTGAAGAGTTCAGTGATAATGATGGAGACGAAGAGATGGTTGATGAAGAAAACAAAGACTTTGGCTTGAAAAGCCTCCTGGAAGAGGATGAAAATAAGCAATCTCAGGTAAAATCTCTTGTTAAATACCAAACCACACAAATCACACCAAATCTATGACTTCAACAGAATATTTGACAGATTCTACGATGTAATTGTGCATAACAATCACTTTTTTCGACCAGTAGCATATTTTATGCGTTCTGCGTGTAACTATTTTGTATGCCCCTCATGTCAACTAAAGTACGCTATTATGCACAGAGTAAAACTAACGCGATCCCAATGGTTTCTTGTCCGACTCGCATCACTCATTTGTGTATGTTTCATACGTGAATTTTAGAGCGATAAGAATTGACGAGAAAATTATTGCGACAACAAATTTTATTTAATTCAAACTCTTTTGAGTTACTCAATTTGAGTATATCTTCAAACGATAAAACCAATTTTGATTATTTTATAGGCGGATAAAGATGATCTCATAAACGATGCTGCAGCAATAGCTGAGAGCATTCAGCCAAAAGGAAACACATTATCCTCAACAAATGTCGTGACACCCGTACCATTTTTACTGCGTCACACCTTACGTGAATACCAGGTTGGTGAAATGTATCGAATTTTTTCTAGATGAAAAATGTCGTTGTGATAAAAAAAACAGATAAATTTACATAGAAAAAGTTGAAAGTTTACCCTCGAAACAATAACAATTACGTTATGATTGCATATTGAAATTAGTCTCCAGCTTTGACATTTCAAAAACAAGGCTTTTTTATTTTACTTTAAACTTGGCTTATAATAATAAATTTATGTTAATTAAATTTAAAACTAAAACGAAAACAAACTTTATGATGATTACCCTTTTACCGACCATCTGAACTCTACTTGCTATCACTATTTTTGTGATTGTAATTAAACAAATTTGGATGAATTCGTACGAGGCATTTGTCTGACAGTTTTATGATCTCCTGGTTTTGAAATTAGGATTTAATAAAAAAAAATAGAAATATTTTACTACTGATACACTATTTACAGCATATCGGTCTAGATTGGTTGGTGACAATGCACGATCGAAAATTGAATGGCATCCTTGCCGATGAAATGGGTCTTGGAAAGGTAAATCCCATCGATTTCTTTTGATCATCATCATTAAGTGTCGAAATTATTTAAATTCAAATTATCCAACTTTGATCGAATGCTGAATCATATTTTTGTATTTTTTGTAGACCATTCAAACCATCTCGTTGCTCGCGCATTTGGCATGTGTTAAAGGGAATTGGGGACCTCATTTGATAGTGGTACCATCATCAGTGATGCTCAATTGGGAAATGGAGTTTAAAAAGTGGTGTCCCGGTTTCAAGATCTTGACATACTATGGCTCCCAAAAGGAACGTAAACAAAAGCGTATTGGCTGGACGAAAGTGAACGCTTTTCATGTGTGTATCACTTCATACAAATTGGTTATACAGGATCATCAAAGTTTCCGACGAAAAAAGTGGAAATATTTGATTTTGGATGAAGCTCAGAATATCAAAAATTTCAAATCACAGCGATGGCAACTCCTATTGAACTTCCAAACAGAACAGTAAGTATTTTATTTATTTCTAAAATAAGTTTGGAATTTCAATTCTAAATTGTTTATACATGAGAAAGAGTTTAATGATGTTACCACTTCTACCAACCTGCTGAATCAGTTCTGGTTCTCTATCTTTGAGAGCGTGAGCATTCCTTCGGATGAATCTGCACGAGGCATTTGTCTGATTAAATTCTTTTTTTTTTCAAAGCAATCACCACTCACTTTTTATGTCAATTTTTGAAAGATTGGCGAAATTCATTTCAACAAACATTCATTTGTGTTTACAGACGTTTGCTATTAACGGGCACACCATTACAAAATAACTTGATGGAACTATGGTCGTTAATGCATTTCTTGATGCCACATGTGTTCCAATCGCATCGCGAGTTCAAGGAGTGGTTCTCAAACCCAATGACCGGCATGATTGAGGGTAATTCTGAGTACAACGATTCCATTATCAAACGTTTGCACAAGGTACGTATTTGAAGTGATGACGGAAAATTGCACTTTCAATCTGTTCACAGTTATAATTTAACTAGACTTTGAACATTTGCAAAGGTGCTAGATTAAACTTGTTTAACGCGAAATACCAGCTTTAGAATGCAGATTTCTATATGATAGTATTCTTTTTCCAAATTCTCGCAATATTTTCACTGATAAAAACAGTTACACAGCCCAATGATGTCTTATGTATTTTATACAAAATAATGTCAAAATTTGTTTCTATCATTTCTTCTTTTATTCATTTTGACAGGTTTTGCGGCCATTTTTGCTACGGAGGTTGAAGTGTGAAGTGGAGAAGCAAATGCCGAAAAAGTATGAACATGTCGTAATGTGTCGACTGTCGAAGCGTCAACGATATTTGTATGACGATTTCATGAGCCGAGCAAATACTCGTGAAACATTGGCTTCCGGTAATTTGTTGAGTGTTATCAATGTGTTGATGCAGCTGCGAAAAGTATGCAATCATCCGAATATGTTTGAAACACGACCAACGGTTTCGCCGTTTCGCATGGATGGCATCAATGTACATACGGCGTCCATCGTTTCAAAAATCTGCGACTACGATCCATTCACTCAAATCGACTTAAATTCTTTGAACCTCGTGCTAGTTCAATTGGAACAATGTTTAAGTGCATATGTTGCGTATTTTTCGCGAAAAACTCAAACACCGCGCAAACTAATTGAAGAAATTGATACGGCACCTTTTCCGCCACCAAAGTGTCCAGAAGGTCAGTTTAAAATGTTTATGCGAATTCGCGAAACAACTGTATCCAACAACATTAGTACGTACAGCACTGGGGTGAAGGTTGGCACAAGTCCTGCCATGAAGACTGAAGGAACAAAAATTATCCCCGTTAACTTACTAGTTAGTACCAACAATAGTAATAGAAATGCGACCTTATCCGTTTGCAGCAATAGTATTAGAAGTGGTAGCCAAATAATAACACTGCCACCGTTAACCGCATCGACTCCAATGGGCCAAACGCAAACGATTGTTGGTTTACGAAAGCGCATCGAACCTAGTATTCGAACGCCTGGCTCAACCGCATCCATGCAAATTTTCCAAACGAGCAGTGGTCGTCAGCTCATTTTAGCACCGGCTAATAATGGAACAACCATGGTAACACCTACCGGCCAACGATTAACAGTCGTTCGCAGCACAGCACTAACACCACAAACTCAACAGCCAAGAATCGTCCGATCAACAGCGATAGCTAAACCAATCGTCAAGGTATCATCACCATCGATGACTGCTTCCAGTAGCAATAGCAGTATTAGCAGTTCACTACAGCTGTCAACCACATTGGCCAAACAATTGAAAACCCATTCGTATGCGATGGCAAGTGGTGTCGAGCCAAAAATAGATGCCGAACAAAAGGAGAATACCGACGATACCGATTTAGAATTTGGAATCGTCGAAACGGAAGAGATGCTGAAGAAACGGCGTAAACATAAGCTACAATTTTTGGCTAAAATGAATCGACGTCGATGTTCTGCAACACCGATGTACGGTTCAGATCTCAGGGAATCTGTGACAAAACTTCTCAATGGCACCGCCGATCGTCCGAAATTCGTATCATGGCTAAGCACTGGTTACATCAATTGCATGGAAGCAATGTACAATGATGAAAACTGGAGCGTTAACAGTTGCATTAAAACGATTGTCCAGCGAACTGATGAACTCAATGATATTTTCAAGAATTTTGTACTTTTTGTACCGAGAGTATCGGCACCAATGCCCACTCTTCAGCTATCCCATCCTCATCCATCAAAGCTCAACGAAGAGCGCGAACGAGAACGGATCTTCACCACGGAATTATCACCAAAAATGGCCCTACTTCATCCGATTGTGTCGGCCATGTCAACACAATTTCCAGATCCACGGCTCATTCAGTACGATTGCGGGAAACTGCAAACACTCGATCGTTTACTGCGTGAACTCAAAGACAATCAACATCGTGTGCTAATTTTTACCCAAATGACACGCATGCTTGACGTACTCGAAGCATTTCTCAATTACCATGGCCACATCTACTTACGATTGGATGGCACAACGAAAGTCGAGCAGCGACAAATTCTCATGGACCGTTTCAACAATGATAAACGAATTTTTGCATTTATTCTATCAACACGTTCCGGCGGTGTTGGTATTAATTTGACCGGAGCTGATACTGTGATATTTTATGACTCGGACTGGAATCCAACAATGGATGCACAAGCACAAGATCGATGCCATCGAATTGGCCAAACGCGTGACGTACATATCTATCGTTTGGTCAGTGAGAAAACGATCGAGGAAAACATTCTGAAGAAAGCCAATCAAAAGCGTCTACTTGGAGATTTGGCTATTGAAGGTGGTAACTTTACAACGGCGTACTTCAAGAGTTCATCTATCCAAGATCTTTTCAATGTTAATAATACCGAAGAGAATGCATCCGACCGATTGGCCGAAGTATTGGACAGAGATCTGGATCGACGAAGCCGATTGCAAGAAAATTTGGGTGCCATACCAAATACTTCATCATCGGCACCAAACACGACCACTGGATCCGACGATCGATGCGCCCTTGGTGCATTTGAATCAGCACTTGCTGCCGCCGAAGATGAGCAAGACGTACAAGCAGCTAAAACGGCCAGCGCTGAAGCGGCCGCGGATTTGGCGGAATTTGACGAAAGCATTCCAATCGACGACATTGAAAACAAACCACCGGAGTTGAGCAAAGCTGAACAAGAGGTGGAAAATCTCGTGAAACAGGTATATTTTTATGAATTTCAATTTACTTTAGTATGTTGATTATTTCAATGTTCCTTTCCAATGGCCTGAAAAATTGACTGTTTCAAAAATGCAACAGCTGCAATTCCTCAAAATTACAATGAAAAAGATTGGAAAAAAACTATTCTGTATACGCATTTTTTGATTAAACTGGAAACGGTTTGCTTTAAATTTTCAGTTTGCAAAAATGCTAGAATAATGCAGGCTCTCAGACATAGTTTGGTGTCACACCAATAACCAAATTATATCACTCAAAGTCTTACATTCCAAAATATGTGTGCAAAAAAAAATTCAAAAGACAACTTGGATACACTTTTATCGCAAATTTTAATTATTGTGAATTCATTGCTTTCCCCCAAAACTATTCCTGAACAGTTGAATCCCATTGAACTGTATGCAATGCGTTTCGTCGAGGAAACGGGAGGTTCTTGGACCGCTGAGCAGCTGCGCGCTGCTGAAGCAGAAATCGAACAACAGAAACGTGAGTGGGAAGCAAATCGTTTGGCTGCAATTAAAAAGGAAGAAGAAGATGAAAAACGGGCCGCCGACGAAGATGATATGTTGACATACTCACGCGAGGATGCACAAAATCAGGTTAATAATAATAAATTTAATAAAAGTAATCCCGTTAATCGTAGATTGTTGAAAGTAAAACAAAGCGATCGACATGGCGTTGTTAAAAGTAAGAGAGTTAAAGGTAGGATGACAGCAAGAAAGCCAATTAGAACAGTAGCGCAAAAAACGTTAGGTCCACGTCGAGCATTGCGGAATAATTCGAAGCCGATAAGTAGTTTGGCGCAAAGTAATTCAACAATAAAGAAAACACAGATGGCTGGCGCAAAAGGAACGAATTCGGTGCGGATAAGCACACGATCAAATAAGCAACCAAAGCGAAGTGATGATGCAAATATATCAAGTGATGACGAACCATTAATTGAGCTAAATAAGAACAATGGCATTGCCATAAATCATTCAAAACTGCTGAAAAATGACTATGACGCAACGGCTGAACAAAGTGAATGTAGTGAACAACGGCATTCAGAAGATTTTGATGATAGTGAATGTAGTTTAGATGTAATGGTCGATTCAACTGACCCACAAGAATCAGATGAAGAGATTGCCGATGATGACGTTGACGGAGATGATGATGATAATAATGAAGACAACGAAAACGAATCGACGTTGATGCAATCTGATATGTCAATGATGTCATTTGATGAAACCGATGCCGACGCATCTAAGGAAAATAGTCTGAACACCACACTTAATAAAATTAGTCTCGACAAAAATCATCAAATCGATATTAATAGTCCTCGCAGTACACGCTCACATGGTCGCATTAAAATCGATTTGTGGACTCTTGATAAAAGCCAAAATCTACCAGAACTCTGTGCAAAACGCAGTCACAACAAAACGACTGGCTCAAAAATCACTTCGCTCATTTCGAACTCAGGCTGTGCCAATGAAAATGAAACATGCGAAACAAACGGCAGTTCGGCCGAGGACATCAATGAAAACGACACCGAAGATAATGATAACATTACAAAAGCCGCAAATACTCCAGAAACAATGGTCATGAAGCAATCAAAAATCAGTGATTGTTTTTCAAAACCTGACAACGATCCGGTCAACGAAAACGCACGTATGAGAAAAAGCCTGCCATTAGTAAAATCGGTTAAAATTGAAAAGCCAGTTGCCACGAAAACATCGATTGGTCCAAATGCCAAAAATCATATTTCACACTTCGATCTGAACCGAACACCCAAGGTTGTTCTCAACAAGCATGATTGTGAAATACAGCAACAAAAAGCACGACTTAAATCAAAAACCTAGTTAAATACATTGAAAACAGTTTCTCGATCGTACTGTATCTATTTATGTGCTCCAAACGACTTTCAAATTCGACCTAGTACATTTGCAAGAAGATAAAAAAACAATGTGGAAAAATTATTTATGATGCTTTTTCTCACAGGCAAAATGTCCAATACCAAATGTAAAAATTGGTTATTTTATTTTTTCATTTGTTCGTTGTTTGTTTCATTTATATAATAATCAAACCGAAGTTAGGTGAAAATGAAAAAGGGGCGATTTTTTCTGAAGAAAAACAAATATTAATCAAAAGATGAATAAAAATTACGTTCAGAGTCCATATGAAATATTCCGTGAACTGTATACGGCAAATTCGATGAGATAAAAACGAACCATCTGACGCAAAATTGTGTACGAAAATTTTACGCAAAACCGATAGAGCATTTCAACTACAGTTTTAATTTATGTACCATGCCAAATGATTTTGTTTTCAACTTAAGCTAGGACCAGAGTGAACTCTCTGAAGGAAGTCATACATTGACGTTAACAAAGAATGACTACCAGCTTTGCCCTATTTGAACTTTTCATGATATTTGTACGTGAAATTTATAAGTCCATCTATTGAAAAAACCCAAAAATCAATGAAAGTCCAAAGTTTTTCATAGATTATCTATGGTATTTACATGTGACGCATACAGCGCCATCTATTGAAAAAAGTCACAATCGTGTCAAGTTGAAATAAGGCAAAATAACCCAGAAAATGGTTGTCATTCTTTGAAATTATATATTATTATCGAGTGACTTATTCGATTTCGCCGACGTTTTTCATTCAATTAACTGGCCGTCTTTAAGTTTTACTTGAGGCACGTAGTTGCCATGCTTCAAAAGCAAAATGATCTTTTAGCGAATTTGCGTAGTGTTGGCTATGGACATTTGTACGTTCGTAGATATGTTTTCGAAAGAACGAACGAATGAAAGAAAAATCTTTAATCTCTACAAACGAACGAACGAACAAGTGTTTGTATGTATTCGGAGGTCTGCGCTATTCATACTCGTTTAAAAAAAGTCAAACTTGCTCTAAAAAAATAAACACAAAAGAAATATCAACTTTTAATTTTTGCCGAGAATAACATAATTTTGTCTCGAACATAAGTTGTGGCACCATATATCCTTAGAAAATGATTCAAATTGAACGAATTAAATTATAATGTTTGCACAGAAACAGTTTGATCTATAAATTGTTACCGTATGGCATAATCATTGCATAAAAATTTGGAAGATTTTCGTGGGAAATGTACAAAGATCGAATGCGCTTTCAAATTTAAGCGAACTAATTCATTTTGCGATTGAAATTAGTCGAATCATTGAATTTGAGTTGTAACTTTCAAACGATTCAAAGTTTAGATTGTGTTCAACTTTTCCAGCTGCTCTGTTGCTGTTTCAACAATTGCATATTGTTTGAAAGTCGTTTGCCACGAATTGGCTTTGGTTCTGCGGTGTATATAGCATCATCTAGGACTGCATTTTGAATATTTGTAACGAAAACCAGTTTTATACAGAAATCACAGCAATACAATTTTATTGCTCGCTGGAAGAAACTATAAGAAAAACTGGTATTGAATCTGAAACAATCACTCCCATTTTTATTCAATTTTCCAATGCATTCATTTCAACCATAGAACAAATGTAGCGATAATACACCGGATATTAATTTATGTTCTAGGTTAAATTCATTGAATCATAAAATTATCATATAAAGCTAACAACTACTTAATAACTCTAGATAGACATCCAGATGACTAAATGGGTTTTGAATGGATTTAAGCATTGTTTATAATACACACTATAGGAAACAAATGAAAGAAAAATCTGTGACATTAGACATGTTTCCTATTTGGTATTGAAAGTAACTAGGACTAATGATTATCGAACTACTATAAAAAGTACAGATGAGATGAATGTAAAAGAAATAAAACACACACAAGGAAAACTATTAGGCTATAAAATGTACATTCAATATTAAGGCATACAAGAAAAAAAGAAATCTCTTGAAGAAGCCGAAAAAATATGTGAAAAAAAAACATTGACATTAATTTCGATTACATATGTCAAATGGAAATAATGTATGATCGAAAAGAAAAACATGAAAATGAAAAAAATTCAAATAATATAATTAACACAAACAAAAAACAAACCAAATGTTGTGTTGTTTTATTTATACCAACGGCATTGAAAAGAGCATTTATTTGGAATTGCAAATGTTTGTTTTGTTGTTGTTGCTTTTTTATATAGAAAAACCGAAAAAACGATTTATTGATTCAATCTATTCCGAAATCGTAACTATTTAAATAAAAATTGAAATTAACGATTACACTTAAATAGTGTATTGTTGCGTCGCGCCGCGTCACGTGCTGCAGAAATTTAACTAATAGAAAATGAAAAAATATGAGTCTCCAAAACATACAGAGATTAAATTTTATATTTGTTGCTTTTGTTTTCGTCACATGATTTGATCGCGAGTATGAAAAATGTTTGACACATACCGAAACCAAACCAAACTTTCTGTTCTTGATATTGATGTGACTTACGTTCGGTTTTGAATGAGGAAAAAGACATTTGCACTGTATGTGTGTGTGCCAAAGTACATTATGGTTGGTCAAAATTAAGATGCGTAACTCGTACACATCAAATGTAGACATGAAATCGTTTTCAATCTTAAATTGTTCGCCGCTTTCTTCCGTCTAATTTGATTTCTTTCATTTTATGGACGCAAATTATTCTCACTCGATTTCGGCTTAACCTTTTTAATGGGCAAATGGCACGTCGACTTTTCTTTTTCAATTTTGATTTTGCTGGAGTTGATTCGAATGTCCCAAAAACGATCAATTCTTTTTTATTTGATCAAATAGCAAAACTGTAAATACAATTGCTGTAGACATTCCATTGTTTTTGAATAATCATTCTTTTGATGTCTCTGAACGAGCAGGTGTCTCTTAACATACAGAAATACACACAAAAAAGCAGTGCTTCTATTTTACAGTTGTCGTCATATGAACAAAGTCGTGATTCAAACAAGAATCAATTTAAAAAATCAAAAGTTTACACGCACACACACACGCAGATTTTGATGAACTGTAGAATTCATTCTTTAAAAAGCAAAGGAAATTAAAACAGCCATTTGCCATTCCAACAGCGATCACTTTGCCTCGGATATAGATAAAATAATACACAAATAAAATGGAAATCAAACATAAACAGCACAGCCGCAGGTCATAACAGCCTCGAAAACGAGATAAAACCATTTTTTTTTTAAGTCGAAGGCAGAATAGATGACAGATAAAACAGTTTTTGGTTTTGTTATTAAATCTTTTTACCACAATTTCTGAATGTGTTTCTCCCCGTTCCGTTATATATCACACGAAAACAAGAGCCGAACACATATAAAATGGTGTTCTCGAGCATTTAACATTGATAATAAGTAGATTAAAAGACCAACATTTTTTTCTATTTTTTTTTAAATTCCAAAATCGAAATCAATCACAAAACAAGCGAAACATTTGTATTCTAATAAATGCTATTTTTCTTCTCTCTTCCCAAAAAAATTGAAAAACACTTTTCAAACACACTGAACTGACACATTGCTCCCACACTCCACTCTGACTGAATTTGCTCACACATGCATATACACATACATATCGACACACAAATCTGATCTACTCTACTATGCTTGTACGCAACAATTTCTTGAATCCGATGTAGATATGGATTTCTGATAACACGATGGAACTTATGCCGGTAAGATTGAACTCTTCCACTACTCACACAAGGGAAACGATCAACGAAATCAGTAGTTTCGTTCGGATCGGATGTAAATTGGAATATATAAATATTTGCAACATTTTCATTTAGCTTTGGAGCCCGCCAACACCACCACAAGACGACTCTGACCTTTACATTGACTATTCATTGTGCTTCCTATACGAACAAGAGACAATACCTGAATCAGAATTGCCACCGGTTTATGTGAAAAAGGAAGTCAAACGCACTCGTACCGATGCCGGTTTTCTCATAGATGGTCGACGTCCGATCAAAATTCGGAAAGAGGACAACTATTTCCCTCCTCGCTCACTTTTTGATCGACCGTCACCAGCGCTGGCAAAGTTGCGTCGTGATCTAAAAACACAACGCTATCGTGGGAATTTCAAACCACTAATTCAAATTACAACCATCAAACAACAACTACCGCAACCACAAACGACCACACATCAGGTAAGTTATGACAAAGGGTCTTTAAAATATTCGTAAATAAAGTTTTTTCTTGAATGAAGGTTTTGTTCGGAATCGGAAACTGTGTCTAAAAAAGTCAAACTGAATATAACTGTCAAAAATTACACTTCTATCTATATCTTTAGACAAATTGTATATAAGTTAATATTTTAAAAATTTTTGGAATTTTTGTGGGAATTTTGTTCAATCTTCTGTGTTTCAGAACGAAAAATACCAAATTGTTTGTTTACAAAAAATCAAAATCGTCTATACAGACGCTGTTTTATGGTTAGAATGAGTTTATAGCATTCCATTGAGCAAGATTGAATCATTTGAATCGATTAAATTGGCGAATTAAAAAAATGTGCAATTAGAAATTCGATTTATTTCGCTCCCGTACAAAAATGACTTGAATTTTTTTTTTCACGAAAAATTGAAATACAGTTATTTTTGATACTTTTAAAAACTGAATGAGTTTCTATGGTCCAACTGAACACAATGAATCCATTCATACCCCTAAAATACTGAAAACAAAAAATTTCGTTAGTCAAAAGTCGATGACGAAAATTTCCCATATTGGGGAAGAAATCAATTCAAATTTTTTTCAGTGAAATTTTGAAATCTTCTCGTTTTTGCTAGTTCATCGAATTGAATGACTGTCTGGGGTATATCTGAACAATGAAACCAATTCTGCAGTTAATATATCGAGAACAAAAAAATTTGCCATCAAAAGTTGGAATCAAAAATCCTTCTTATAAGGAGAAAATCGATGCAACATTTTTTTCAACGAAATTTTTAAATCGGACCATTTTTGATAGTTTAATAAATTGAATGAGCATCTGGAGTCTACTTGAACTCATTGAAACCAATCCCATAGCTAAAATATGCAGAGCAAAAAATGTTGTCGTTCGAAAGATGTCGTTCGAAGATCATTCATATTGGGAAAAAATCATAGGTGTAACGAATAAATAATAAGTAATAAAAGATTTTATTACTTATTCATTTTATGTGATTATTCATTTATTCGTTATTCGTTCTTACTCGCGAATAAGAACGAATAATTATTCATTTATTCATGCAAGAAACGAATAAGAAATGTAATAAAAATTGAATAATATATGAAACGAATAAGAAGTGAATAAGAAACGAATAAGAAAATGAATGAAAATTGAAAAAGAAGTTGTAAGAAGTAATAACTATTACAACTTATTCACGAATAAATGAATAATTATTCGTTCTTATTCGCGAATAAATGAATAAATATGACAAAAGTAATAAGTGAATAAAAAAACGAATAATTATTACAAAAATTAACACCTATGGAAAAAATTGACTTAAATTAGTTTCAACAAAATTTTGAAATACACGCGTTTATGATGGTTTAATGGATTGAATGAGTTTTAGGGTCCAACTGAACTTATCGAATCCGTTTCGGAGTTTAAATAATTCGAAACAAAAATTTTTGTCATTCAAAATTTGATATCAAAAATTCTTCATACGGGGAAAAAAATCTAATCATTGAAATCCAGCCATTTTTGAGAGTTTTATTTCAAAACTTGAAATGATGTCCACATATCGAGAGAATTTGAACAGTGCAACTTTTAAAGCTGAAAATTTGAAATGTTGTGCGGAATGTCCGTTACCTTCTTAAAATAATCAACTTTTCTCCAGAAAAATATTCTTTTAAATTTTTATTGCTTTTGGCGCGATGGACATATGTGTCCTTGGTAAAGGTAACTAATTACCACTGATTTCCCTGTATTTTAACCATTTTTCGCGAATTTTGAAACACACAAATTTACAAAAAGATCATTAAATTCGTGATCAAATTGACACAACAAAGCATAATTCAAACCATTTTCGGTTCCAAACGATTCTAAAAATTTTAAAAATGAAAAAGGTTTTACACGTATTTCCTATGGGAGACATGTTTTTTTCATAGAAAAATAGTTACCGTTACCCCATGACGGACGGACAAATTTTTGTCCGTTGACAGCTTTAATCAGAAAGAAAGAACAAATTTTATTTCATAAAAATGATCTTATATCGAATTCCATCGTATTTTTAGGTTACACAACAGCCAGCACAACCGGGTGCGCTGCAAACCACACAAGTTGCAGTCGGTGGGCCGCAAAATTTGCAAACAATTCAACCATTGGCACAGATTCAGACGAAACAACTCGTCGAACCAGAGAACATGGCTGAGTGGGCGATTTACGAGGACATGGTCCTATTGAATATAATTCAAAATATGCAAGGGTTGCCATTAAATTTGATGCTTCTCTCTCCCGGCCACACGCCCAATTGGGATTTGGTCGCAGATGTTGTGAATCAAACATCACGTGTCTATCGAACACCGAAACAATGTCGTTACCGGTACGAAGCGGTCATTGTGCCACGTGAAGAAGGAAAACTAATTGAAAATACCAAGAAACAACCAAAAAAAACAAAGAATCCATCTAAACCATTGTCGCCACCAAAAGCGATTCGTGCATTACGAACATCACAATTGTTTATTAATGATAATAATAATTCATTTACCAAATTGATGAAAACAAATTTCGATTTCATCAAAGCGGCTTACATGAAAAAAGCGCCACAGCTCAAACAGATTTTGGTCAATCCATCGATGAAGAATCCAAAACATGCCGCCGTTCTGGCTGAATTTGGGGTTACAAACTACGATCAACCGTTAAGTCCGGTCGAAATAGCCGCACGACGAGCCGAAAAAATGAAAGAACGCAACCGAACTGTTGGTGTTCTACAACAGCAACAAGTTCAATCGCAAACAGCTCAACAGCCAACACAGCAACTGGTGAGAGAAAAACTTAATCGTGGAATTTAAAAGTAGAAAAAATGTAGTGCGAAACCCGTTTAATATTTATTTTGTTCAACTTTATATTTTGGGTTCGATTTTTTTTTATTTTTGTATATTGATTTCGAATCAATATTTGTAATGGATTCATATTACTTTTCAAAATCAATTACAGCAAATACAAACGGCTCAAACTCAACAGGTGCAAGGAACTAAAATAACAGCCCACATACCAGCCACAGCGGCTAGCCAACAACAACAACAACAACAACAGCAGCAGCAGCAGCAACAACAACAACAACAGCAGCAGCAACAGCAACAACAACAACAACAACAACAACAGGTTGGTCACCGAATTTATCAATTTCTTATTGATTTAAAGTTTCTAAATCTGACTTCTATTTCAGTTGATACAGCTACAACAACAAGTTCCTGGAAGCGTAACACAAGTTTTACCTTCGGTGGCAACCATTGTTCAAGCCCATTCTATTCAAGCTTCACGCGCTGGAAATGTATGTTTTAATATGAAACTGAATACCACTCTAATGATACATTACAACTAAACAAACAAAATTTAAATCGAATAAAAATGAAAATAAAACAATATATAAATGGAATTAAGAAAGAATATTGAAAATTATTCGAGATTTAACTATAATAAAGTGATAAATAAAAAGAGGAAGAGACAAAAACTAACATATTCCTAATCTCCTATTTAGCACCAGCAATCTCAGCAAATTGTGAAAGTGGTGACTGCTTCGCCGCAATCAACAAATATCATGAATGCTGTACAGCACGTTCCCATTTCACAGGCCCAACAACAATTGCCACAGGTAAAGATATTTATCGAATTTTCGCAATTATTCTATAACAAAACGTTTGTTTTAATTTTGTTTTTCATCTTGAACTCTTAGCAAACTCAACATCACATTCAACAACAGCAGCAGCAACAACAACAACAACAACAACAACAGGTATTCAATAACAGCATCACACATCGATTCAAAAAAATATTATTTGTTAATTTAATATATTTGATTTCCGAATCGTATAGCAACAACAGACTCAAGTTCAAACTCAAGCCACTCAGTCAGTGCAGCCGCAAACTACGCAGCAAATTCCCCAACTTCATCCTGTACAGGTAGGTACATTGAGTTTGCATACATGCGAAACGAAATTTCGGACAAATTCATCACCGATTATTTTTATAAATTCTATTTAAATGACGTATATATGGTATAAATGAATATATCACAAAAATTGTAGAATATACAATACATATTTAGTTTGATAGATTGTTTACGATTTAGTAATAGTACAACACCTTCTTTTCATATTTTCAGCAGCAACAACAGCAAATACAATCGTCTCAATCTCAACTTGCGATTGTATCGATCCAACAGACTGTTATGCCAACGACTTCAACAGTTGTCAGTCAACCGGTAATTTTTATTAATTCGCAGACAATGTATTTGGCTAATGTCAGCTAGCTAACTGAAAACATTCTGGCTGGGTCAGCGGCTGAATTCTATGCGTTGCATTTTTTCATTGCAATCCGTAGTATACAGACCATAAGAAATGTAAAATGTTCGCCATTTATTTTTACATTGCCAATACATTAGTTATGGGGATTTTTGTTTTGTTTTGTTTATTTTTTTTTTGTTTCTAAACAAATCTGCCTATCTTTTTGCATTGCCTCTGCACATTTCCTATGGACATATACTATGCACGATGTACTGTACAGTGATAGGCGGATTTGTTTACAAACAACAAAAAATAAACAAAACAAAAATACTAATGTATTGGCAATGTAAAAATAAATGGCAAACATTTTACATTTCTTATACTATGTACCGTGGCAATGCGTTGATATAGGCAGACTTGTTGACAAATAACGGTACATGAACAAAACAAAAATCTCCATATATATGATTTCTGCACCAGCCAGAATGTTTTCAGTTAGCTAGCTGACATAGGCCAAATACATTGTCTGTTAATTCGTTTTTTTCTTAAAATAAAATAAACATTATATGTAATAATAGGCAAATCGATTCTATTTCCTAATATTTGGAATTTTATATAATTGTTCTCTTTTTGTATATTTTCTCGTGAAGAATCAGCAAAATGTAACACCAACACCAAGTACAGGGCAAATTGTTCAATCGCTTCCAGCGCAAGTAGCAACGTCGCAAGTGGTATCAGTGTCGCAGTTAACCGGTGTCGGAACGGTGTTCACAACATCTGGATTACCATCAAATGCAACGACCTCATCATTGCGTGCCCAAAGAATTGTAACTGCGCCCGGAATACCGGAGATTCAGTTCAGTCCACGAACTGGTACACAAACATCGGCCGTTGTATCGGTGAGTGGTTTGACCGCTCAAAATTTGACTTCAACGCAAATTCAAGCAAGCCAATTGCGTTTATCAATGGGCGCAAATCAACAAGTTTCCGGTGTTGTTACAAAAGGTGGTATTCCAATGATTGGAGCCATTACAGCCACTGGTAAACCGATCACACAGCCCGCACAATTCCAAATCGTTCGTCAGAATCCATCGAGACAACAGTTCAAAGTACTGAATACGGCCCAGGGTAACACCGTTCTACAAACAGTTGGCGGTCAAGTGAGCGTTGTTAACCAATCGGGGGCAATTATTCAAGGTGGTATTGTAGCGACAGGAACAAATGTCGGCCAAACTATTCAATTGCAGCCATCAACCGGGCAGAAAGTATCACTTGCAACTGTTTCGGGTGTTACAGGCAGTCCTGGATTAGCTACAAATGTTGCTTCCGTTGCCACCGTCCAAATGAATTCAGCTAACACAACAACACCACAGCGAACACATTTCATGGTCCAACCAAGACAACAAGGTAAATTGCATACTACAAAAATAATATAAAGCTTCACCAGTCGCAACAAATCGAAGTGAAAAACAAATAGAAGAATAATTAGATTGAAAAAGCTTGAAATCCGGATGTACCAATTTTAACTTAAAAAAAAATTAAATTCGATGAAAAGTAAAGAAAATCTATGAAATTAAATCATTTTGAAATACATATTTTTGCTTTTTCTGCAGTAAAACGACAATTGGTCAATCAAACGCAGGCCAATCAAACAGCTACACAAGTGCAACATACGCAATCACCGCAGCAATCGCAGTCGCCACAACAACAAGCTAAAACGCAGATATTGTCACCATTCACACATAGCATTCAACCTCAATCGGCTAGTGGAACTGGTCAACAACAATACGGTAAAAACTCAATTAATATTTGATAATGAATAAATATTTTTGAATGGTTTCATAATGAATAATTGTTGTTGTTCTCCAGCACTTGTAAAAACATCAACTGGAATGGCCGCCTCTTTGGCTCAAATAAAAACGGCACAAATCAAGGGAACCTTACCTGGCCGTATGCAATTACAACAAATTCCCATTGCACAGCAACAGCAACGAAAGAACGCAGCAATAGCCTCCAGCAGGTTTGTACTGTTCGGTTATTGTTTGTATGAAATAAATTCCATTTTTAATTATTTCTCTTTCTTTAGTTCGATCAAACCATTCACGGGACCGAGTAGTACAACGGGTGCAGCAAATGCAGCTGGAACAACAAAAACCACATCCGTTGGTGGAACGCAACTGATTGTGCAAAATCCAAAAAATTTGCAACAATCAACGGTAACCGTGCAGCAAATCATACGACAGCAACCGAATCAAATTGTTTTGGGTAAACGAATCATTCCCGTGTCAGTGTCATCGCAGAATGCTCGTCAAACCATACAGGTGAATTGAAATAGATTTTCTAAGGCGAGATAAATAAATAATTTACTATGTTCAACACTATGTCTTATGTTCTTTCATAAAATCTCCAGGTTGTATCGGCCGCGTCAGCACAAGGTTTGGCCGCCGGAACAATTCGAACGAATATGTCGAATCCACCACATACGATAAAAGTGAGTGCGGGTACAACACCGCAACAGGCAATCTTCAGTGTGTTGCAACAACAACAAATGCAGCAACGACAGAATGCAAATCAAAACTTGCGTTTGCAAGCATCGACCGGTTCCCTGGTAGCAGTAGCCGTTCAACCGACGCAACAGCAAACTACACAATCGCAGGCAAATCAATCGACACCAACCCCAGCACAAACTTCAGCTGTTCAGCCACAACCACAAGTCGAGCAAACTACTCAATCTCATACACCAGCAACAACACCAAAACGTCGTTAATTTGGCATCAAAAACCTACTAACTTTAAGTCAAAAATTGAATTGGATCAATGATCAAATAAATCAATGCGATGCATATTGAAACAGCAAATGCGAAATAAATATTTGCGAAACGGCAAAATTCAAGAGAAAAACGAAGAATTCTAATTGGCATAGTCAGGGATCACTTTTCATGCATTTTTACCATAATCCGCATTGCAATGCGGTAAAATACACTTTTTTATTTGAATTTAAACAAACCATTAATTTTATATTGTGTAATTAAAAACGGATGAAAGAAAAACTTTAAGAACAATGAAATTATTTTCAAATTTGAACAGATCATTCGATTTACAGAAGAAAATCATGTTTTTTTACACATTCGTTGAAAGATAGAGATGGAGGTAGTGAACAATTGAGACATCAATTTCAAAATATAATACTATCAAGATAATAAAGATTTATTTAACTATGGCCTGCGCTGCAGTGTGGACCCATCCGGGCATTTTCATAAATTGTTGCGTGCACAATTATCATATCAAAAAATCAATTTTCTCATGTGAATACAGTAAAAAATTTACTTTTGATTTGTTAAATAAAAAAAACAATTTCGGAATCGACCATCAATACTTACCAAGTTGAACATCTCTGCTTAGAAAAAATGCTGTATAATGTTTTCAATTTTGACGAGATATTCGAAAAAATATGGCTAGGTTGAAATCATGAAATACAATGACAAATTTCCTCTGAGTCGTCGAATCATAATTGATCGATTTTTATGATGAACCGAATATAAATCTCAGAAATGCTTTCTATTTTTTGGCTTTAATAACTACATCTAACAAATTCTGCAAATTTTCATCGCTAAAAATGAAAAACAAGGCGCATAATAAAAAAAAATTATTCAGCTAAGAAGATGTTAAAAGTAGTGCGGGAGTCTAGATTTTTACTAGAATCTATCGGCCGTATAGGAATAGTGAAACGTTATATGTAATTAAACTAATTTACATAAGTATTTAGCTGTATTATGTATTGTAAATAAATGAAAAAAGTCAATAAAAAATAATGAAATTGAACTTTGTTCTATGCTTATATTTTTGTCGAAACATTTTCTCCTTGATGAATATTTGTTTCCATATCCAGTACCTGAAAAACTTTCCACTCGTTGAGGTTTGGTGTGCTCTTGCTCTTTTTCATTCGATGCAAAACTAGTCAATGTGAATCGTTATCATTATCAGGAGCAACAACAGCAGCAGCAAAACTTAATGTATTTGATATGATTAAGCAATAGCATCACCAAAATAGCTCACATTATCATTGTTATCACTTGTTTCAAGTAGATTCTTACATTCCTATCATTTTGCGTCGTTTTTGTGAGCACTGACACGTAGACAAAAATTTGTTGTTGTTCGCTGCCCCGTTATATTGCCACATGCATTACGTCAAATAAAATTCAGACATCAGAAAAATTGCGCCGAGAGCGTTTTATCTTTATTTTTTTTCGTCTGTCTTTAAATATTGTGTATGTATAATAAAAAATTAACATTGAGGGAGCAACATTCATTGCAATTATCAGTATAAAATATAGTGTGAATCAGCTCATTTTCGCATAAAATTATTTAAATTTGGCATTCTCTAGCCTCTCATCAAATTTGATCAAAATATATTTAGAATACAAGCTAAAAAATGCGTCCAAAACTTAACAAGTGAATGAATCTTGAAACAATATTTAAAAAAAACTTTTTACTATCTAACAACTTTGCGTAAACTCAAATCAAGTGGAGTTTCGATTTCAATATCATCGCAATCGTCGCCAAAACCAACGCCGCGGAACTTGTCTTCAATCCAAAAATCGGTGATGTGATCATCCTCATCATGCTCATCAGCACGAAATGCGATTTTCGATGTATCGATATTTGCACTGCCCGACAACAAATGGTCCAAATTATATAGATTGGTTACTGGCGGGACATGGTACCGCTTGCTATACATTGGAGATAGACATTGATTTGAAAGCCCGTCATTTGATAAAAATACAGTTGGTTCCACAAAAGCGGAAGACGATGAGGATGACGATTTTTGGCTCTTTTTGTGGTGGTGGTAGAGCGTTAGCGATGGCTCTGTATGACCGAGCGAAACGCGATACTCAGTCGATTGACGGCATGGTTCCTCCGCTGGTTTCGGGCAGAATATCGATATCGGTTCCTTCACCTGTGTTGATGGCGTTCCAAATTCTTTTGGATCGTTGATTTTCAGCGTTTGTACAATATGCTTAAATGTTTTTACGTGTTTTCGCAATGAAGATGGGTCAGTGTAGCGTTTACTACATGATGGAAATTTACAAAAATATGGTTTCTCGGTTGAATGGGTACGAGTGTGTTTGAATCGATCTGATGAATTCGAATAGGCTTTATTACATCCTTCCACCTGGCACACATATGGTTTCTCTCCAGAATGTGAGCGCTGATGAATTTTCAAATTTTCAGCACGTGAAAAACTCTTCGTACATTCCGTGCAATGGTGTGGTTTCTCCTTCGTGTGCGTACGAACATGGACAAGCATCTTGTAACGAGCATTGAAACCTCGATCTGATCGAGCACATTTCTCCCAACGACAGTAGTACAAACCAGTTTTCGATGCAATTGCATGGGCGGTTGTTACGTGACTAGCCAAATTTTCGAGTGTTTCAAATTTTCTGTTGAAAAATAAAAAATAAATAAAAACAAATTTGGATGTTAGTACTCAAATAAAAGCATCACATCAAAAATGTGCTCTCAATGTACTTCGAAATATTATGGCTCCCACCAATTTCACGCTAAATCAGTGCTCATTTTTTGTTGTTAGTATCAAGTATCACACCAAATAATCCATACAAAATAAGCACATTCAGAGCAAATTTTACTGTGTTTTTTTTTTCTATTTTTAATAGAGTTTGTTTGATCACAATTTTTAAAATGTCTCCTATATTTCTTCTATTTCTTTTTTTTCCATTTCAAGCGATGAAAACATGTTCCAGTGTTAAAATTGACATTTACCGGTAACAATTGATCCATTTGCAAATATATGTTTCCTCGTCAGTTTCGCCCGCATTACGTGTAATAAGTTCATTGGTTGGGATTTCAACAATGCGTTGGTCTTCGACTTTCATTATCACCGACTGTGTTCGTTCACACGACACCGGGACCGTTTCCGTTGATTTAACAGAGCCATCAAGTGTTCGTTTCACAGGCAATGATGCAAATGCACTTTTAACGGTTGCTGTTGATGTTGAATCTGTTGATGCACTGATACAGCTCTCGACGGGTGGATTTTGTGTTGTCAGAGCTGGTGATCGTACAGGCAATTGCATCGTTAAATACGGAACCGGTATACTGGACGTAAGCAATGATGGCTTAGCCAATAATTGGCTATATTCGCTGAATATCCTCGAAGAATAGTAGAGCGGCATGTATTTGCCGCATTCGTACGGGTTCAAGTGTTTTCGCGGCGACGATGTATTCCGGCACAAATTCACTGCAGCCGCCACAACAACAGGTGAATAGTCCCCAACACTTGATGGCCGATAATCTGAACTGAAATCATACAGTTTTTCTTGCATTAACATCTTTGCGAACTGATTTTTTATAATTTGATTGTCCCGAGCAGATTTTATCTTAATTATTTTTATAGTGTGGTTTGCTGTTTTTTTTTTTCGGTTAAATTAGCAACCAAACAAATTTGTATCACTTGTTGTACACTGTTTGATCCATTCAAGTGTGGTTTGAATGATTGATTGTAACTACAGCTGGAGTAAGTAAATTCCAGCTAATTAAACTGTCCAACAATTCAAGGCAACAACGAACGAAAAAAAGTAACGCCGATCCGCCCAGCTCAACGGCATACTTCTAACTAAATCCACTACAAATATGTAATACAAATTTATTGAAATTTGATTTTAAGCTAAAAATACGAGCGTCAAGACGAACGAAAAAATGAAAAACACATACGGCACCAACATTACCACATGAACAAGTGATAAACCTACTGTTAGTTAGTCAAGACAAAGAACAACAACATATGCCTCGCGAAATGTGAACAGCAACAATAACATTTATGAAGTGCGCATCAGTAAATATATATTATATTTGTTGAGGCAGACAACGAGAGACAGGAGAACGAATAAAAGAGAAGAAAATAGCCATGTGTAAGATTTGCCAAGAATCGCACACGCTAGGCAATCAGTCTTATCGGGCATTCAGAGCACGCGTGTGTCTGTCGCTTTGTTCGTATTTATATTGCATATAAGTTAATTTTGTCGTTTGTCTTTTTAATTTTATTTTTTTTTTGATAACAGTACTTTTGGTATATTTAACGGCAGCAGCCAAGTACGCGCATTCGCACGGATTCGTCGACCACACTGAGTCTATGTGATAACGAATCCCGTGAAAATATAATACTCTTATAACGGGAAAAAAAATTCAAATGGCAGCAATATTGATGAAACCTTATTTTCGTCCTACCATCAATTTTGCAACCAGGGAAACAACTTTGAAAATTTCCATTGCGACATTGAATCTAAATCATTAATTTACCCCATCGACTTCTCATATTCATCATCATCTTCTGAAAAATATAACTCGAAATGATAGAGACAAAGACGTTCAAACGCATCGCACAAAGAAAAACCAAACACATGACAATACCATTGTTTTGTCATATTTATCATCGAGCGGTTATCTAATCGCTACGATCCACTTGAGTCTATGACATGACCAATGACCATATACCACCCAGCACCAACACCAACACCACTGAAATTCATTAAGCACCGAGGCTTAGCTACGATCACATTTAGGCTAACTTTTAACGGTAGAAATGATCTCAGTCAAAAGCATAGACAATGAATACATCTCCCGTAAGCCGCGTTTTATTTCAAGGATGAATGAACATAAAACATATTTAATAATAATAGCTATTGTTGCCATTAACATTTTTGTACATAAAATATTCCCCTATCGGAAATGTGAAAAATCGCAATCCGAGTAATTCCATGACGATTGGCGAACACCATTATGAAAATAGACTGCTCTCGCACATGCAATTCCTACCGATACAATATAATCGTACAGTTATGGTTGATTCTTGCTTCAATAACATCAAATGCAGACGTGGGCAAGCTGGAAAATCCTAGACTGGGGTGAAAAAAATTGGTCACGTAAAAGTACAGATAAATCTCGTGTATCATCTCCACTTGTATTGTTTTTTACATTGAAGGGCGTTGCACGCACCTTAACATTCACAATACAAACTCAATGCGAGTGGAGACGCCTGATGAAAAATGGTACAGATTGCTAGTGCTAAGGTTTATCTGTACTTTGTCAAAATAGAAGTTGAAAAAAATCACGTATGCAATTGAATTTCGGAAGTAAAGGAGGAGGAGATTGGAAATGGGGATCCCTTTACTTTGCCACGTCTGATTAAATGGAATAAAATGTATGAAAAAACTTCACTTTGAATTAAATGTAGTCTAGGTAGCGCAAAATTGTATTGCATGACATGAACTGTATGTGTCTCTTAACAGTTACAAAATTGTATGTGTGTACCCTAAGAAGATTGTTTTTAGCACTACATGGAATTTAGGCTACTGCAGTTGTTTTTTTTCAGAAAATTTTAAGAGTCTTTAGGCCATTTTTTGGACCGAAAATTAATTCATTTTTATATCCATATTTTTTATTTCAAATAGAGCAATTACGCCTAATTTCATAAACTTAACTAAAATAATGTTCATGTAATTCACTTTTGAGATAACTCAAAAAAAATTTTACACATTTTCGTTACAAATGTGAAATAATGTACATTGAATGTACATGAAGAATAATAACTATAAATTTATTTAATTATTTTTTGACAATATTAAAATGATTTAGGACTTGAAATTTTTATTCGCTTAGATACAATTTTCTGGAAAAACGTTGAATTAAGAATATTTATTAGCGTTTCTTTTTTTTGAACAATTGAACATTTTGAAGAACATTTTCCAACACATTTTTTCCGCGTTCCGGATAGCAATTCATCAACCATTTCCAGTTTTATTTTTTTTATGGCTCACAATACTATGAGCTAGGATATGCTATAGCAATGTTTGACGTTTAGAACTGCTGTGGAAACTTTGTTGGGAGCGCCGCCAAACATAAATTTCTGTAACTATACATACGTGTGAAAGTGAAGTCTTTTTTTTGTGTACGTTCGTGTGAATGCAAAGAGTCTATGTGCGCGTTGTACACAGAGATGTTGATTCGTGCCGCCATATACAAACGTCGCATTCAATGTCGCATCATGTTAGACGGCGCTATTGATATACTTTGTTTCAATCGTCAACAAAATATATGGAGTATTTCTCTGGGATCAAACATAATTGATAACCTTTTAAAATAACTTTCAATAATTAAACAAAAAGTATATCGGCCATTCCACACGAAATCAGGGAAGAGTTGTAATGTGAGGTCGCTGAGAAAACCAAAATCTCAGGCCTGTAAGAGGCCCACATTTCTGAGTTCACCCAGTGTAAATTTTGCAAAAAATTGAAAAAATCGAAAAAAAGGGTTTGCGGTAACTAAAATCTAACTGTGAAGTAGTTGATACATTGCCAAACCTATGGTAGCGTTGGAAAGGGAATTGATGGGGCTACAAAAGCCGCCTAGTAACCTCTATGCCCCATTGGAACCTCCAAAAATGGGTTCAAAGTATAAAATGTTAAATATCTCAAAATAGTGGGGTTTTTTTAACATGTTTTTTTGCGTTTTTGTCTGCGCTTATGTCGCGCCGCTTCAGATGGAAAAATAAAATTTCGTGTATACCATTTCATACCCCCATTCAGTTCGTGTATATGTACTACGATTAAAACTACGCACAGAAATATACTAGATGACGCGTCATCCCGTATTCAGATGACATCTCGTTTAATTTTACATATTATACGTTTAAAATGTCATAATACCGCATAGCAAACCTCATAACAAACTAAACGAAATATGTAAAATTAAACGAGATGTCATCTGAATACGGGTTTTAGATGATGCGCTATCTAGTTTTGGGAATATAATTCTTAGTGTGAAACTTAGTGATAAAAACTACATTCCATGTAGTGCTTACGACAATAATTTGATGAGAAACATCAAATTAACTAAACCCCATGAATTCACAAGCTTCAAGAACGCAGAGCGGAGCGAAGCGACGATCTGCGGTCTTGTTTTTAAATGCGCTGCGAGAGAGGAAAATTGACAGTTCAAGTGAACTCGTACTGATAGGAAATGTGTTGATGAATCATAGAAAGACTGTACAAACATTGCTATCTAAATTAACGTATTGTGTAAGGATGACATGTACGTGAAATTGTCGACATTCTACCTCCTCACATCTTTTGTTCGGTCAAAAAGTGAACATATATATATATATATATATATAATATATATATATTTCATACAATTAGATGTGGTTTGAAGTTAGACAATTTGCCACTTTTGTTTATTATTCATTTACAATTTATATAGATAAGTTGATCAAAGATTCCGATTTGTTTTGGGTGGACATGAAGTTTCTACTTTCGTGTATGCAGATACTACTGTTTGGTAGTTCTGAAGAGGAGTTGCAATAGAATATTAAAGATTTAGAGGTAGCATTTGGAAATTTTGGAATGTCGATCAACATTTCAAACACTAAACGCATGCAAAGCATATTGGTAAATCTAGAAAGTTAATTAGTTGTAATCTAAATATTTGGAATGTGTTTTCTCAATATGACAGTTTGTAGAATTAATTTAAGCTTAATTATTTCTTCTTTTTCTTACTCTTGATATAAAAAGCGCGTTTCCGTCAGTTCCCCATGATGCTATTTTAAAAGTTTGTGAATCGTATGGTTTTTCTAATAGCGCGGTTAAATTAATTAAATCAATTCATAGTAACATTCAGCAAAAAGTTAAAGTCGGCGATCAAGAGTCAAATTTTGTTTCAATTAATAAAAAGAATTACATTGGTAATCCCGAACTTTTCCTGTATTGCCATTTTCATTCTCACAGCCTCATATTCTAAACATATAAATTTCAATTCTTAAAAAATATTGAAAAAAAACCCTACCAATTGCATTGTATCTCATGTCGTACTAAAATAATGAACGTATAAAAAACTACACACAACAGCAGCATTAAAGACGATGCTCGCTGCCTGCGACGACGTGTTCGCGCGCGCGCGTCATCCGTACATGCGAGACGGCAAGCGTGTATACACAGTAATGGAACGCATGCTTGTCTGAAGCAGACAGTATAGCTTATCCATACAAGCATGAATACGGACTCATGCCTGCACAAAATGGAATGGACCAGACAGAATATGATGTTTGAAGATTTTCGGCTGACATTTTTAAATGGCCAAACGCTACCCGATTTCAATGTTCTAAACTAAAAATGTATACATGTGAAAGCATTTGCTAAATAGAAAAAAATGAAAGCACATCTCTGATTTTCGGAGCCCGCTAAGTACTCAAGTCGAAGATATTGACAACATTTCTCTAACAATCTGTTGCTGAATATTAAAATGGCACAGGAAATGGATGAAATAATCGAGACGACAAACCAACAAAAAATCGTGATAACATTTCGAAAAGTTTACGATTAGAAAAGTAAAGAGAGCAAAAGATCGGAGCTATTCCAGTTAAACAGAACGAGTTAACTAAAACTATGAGTGTGTTGCATAGACACCATTAATGGTTGACACACTCAATCACAAATTGAGATTCACACTTGTCAACCAAATGTCTGAAATAATCACATTTTTCGTCTAGCGAATGAATGCTAATGATTTTGGAAGGGATTCGGTTTTGAGCCAATTTCTCAATCGGCCCATGATTTTAAAATGTTCGCATGATCATTACGCGGGCGATCTCGGTGAAATCTGCGTCAGAGTTTGTTAGTTTGGCTTTTTTTTAGGACTGTTTAGCCATTCGTTACACTCTTGCAAAATGAAGTGAAACGGATGAAATACACCGATAATCGACAGAAACTCTCTTTGCTTTTCCGCATACCCATGTTGATTATTGTAATCACACTTCAAAATAGAAACCCCAAAAACCATGTTTTTATCATTTTTCAGTTACAGAGCACGGAAAAAATTTACATACATAATTTCTATACATTATAGAATGAATTTTCTATTTTTTTTTATTTTGTCTTTAAATTTGATCATATTTTTTTTCATAACTCTTCGCGGAAATCATTCGAATCTCTCTGATTCACGATGACAAAGAAGCCCCGAAGCTGGAACGCAACATTTGTGCCACGTATGCAAAAAAAGTTCATCTTTTTATTCTTATGTTGCCTTAGCGATATTCATTATAAATTGTACATTCAGCTCATTAAATGATTTTTTTAAAAATACTACTCTATTTGAATAAACGAATTTTTTTTGTCACTTTACAATCAAAAGACGATAGTGTCAACAAAAACCAGTTTAAGCCAGATTTCCAGAGGTCCATGTAGTCAATCAATCGAATTAAGATTGTCTACGAGGTCAAAGGTTATCAATTGGAATGGTCAATAAATTCACATATGCTAGTTCATTCCTAAGAATTTTTGTTATTTCGTTTGATGGATGTGAGAGGGAAAAAGATATGGAAAAAGGAGCGACGATTTGATTTAATTTACTCGTATCAGTCATTATTAGTTTTTACTCTGTCGAAATTGGCATCATTTTTCGATCGAAAAATCGACTGAAATTCGTTTCAACATCTAAGTGTGTAACGACCCAATAACATGAAAAAAACATAAACACTAACCAAATCCCCATCACCAAAACATCCCGACCTCTCAGAACGGCTTTTTGCGTAGTTTCAAATGGCGACCCAAACTTATCGAAAATGCATTTGCTCTGTGACTTTGTGTAGTTTTTGTCTCAATTGCTCCGAAGTAAGGAATGAGAGGCACTTATTCATTAGAAAATATCAAACTGCGTTCGCCAAAGTGATAAGAAAACTTGATTCAATTAGTTCGGGTGTTGAATCAATCAAGCGAGACTTCGGTGAATTGTGTCTATTTATTAAAACAAAGTGGAATTTAGCAACGCTTCTAAAATGATCATATATGAGTAGTTAGGAGCGAAAATGTAATACAGAAAAGTTGCGCGGAAAAATGTCGGCGATGAATGAGCGCAAATGAGCGAAAAAGGGATAGCTGTATAGTATACTGTATAGTAAACTATAGTAAACTACATAGCTATCTCTTTTCATTTGACATTTTCCCGCGCAACTTTTCTGTATTACATTTCCGCTCCAAACTACTCATATACAACTCTGGTTTTGATTAGATTATTTTGAGCCAAATCAGCAGATTCAAGAGAATTTCACAGGGACGATTTTTTTTCTTCTAAAACGTCAACTTACTTGTTTAAGTAATTAAGGAGTCAAACTTGACTTGTAACTTTATTTTTACTTTTCCGTACACAACGTGTCAAGGGAAAGTATAGGAATTGGTCCCGAAAACTTTTTTCGCAAAATTGGTTTAGATCATCATAAAAACTCATGAAACGCGTAGAAAATCACTTTTTGAGACACTTTTCCGTTCTTGTGCCGTCGTCGTTGTCGTTGTCGTCGTTGTCGTTGTCGTTGTCGTTGTCGTCGTAGCTGTTTGTAAACACGATAACTCAAAAAATAATTGAGATAATCCAAATCTGAAAGTCCTAAAAGTTTTGTATCCAATAAACTTACACTCGAGGTCTTCTATAACATTGCTGAAGTCAAATATCCCTTATCTCTTATCTTGCGCGCAACTGATAAGAGATAAGAGATAGATGTCTTCAGCAATGTTATAAAAGACCTCGAGTACTACAACTTTGCCGAAGACACTATGTTGTTATCTTTTATCAGTTCCGCGAAAACCGTGAAAAACCGCGGAGGCTAGACGGGATGCTAACATACTTCCTTTTAACGCAGATAGAATCAACAGAAATCATACTCTCCTCTTTCAAAATATATTAGAATTTTTTCACATACTCTCCTCTCGATCTAGTCAATAGATTTTAGAATGTTTTTGGGACCTTTTTCAGTGAGATTCTTAAATTTGACGAAAAAAAAGTATTCGGCCAAACATCAATATTGCATGATTTTTAACGAAAAAAGAGAATATTTAATATTTTGTTGGGTTTCCTTTTGCGCGACGAACCGCCTGCATTCTACGTGGCATTGAATCGACCAAATTTTTGGTCACAGTCGTTGGGATTTTGTCCCATTCGGATACAATCGTGGCTTTCAACTCAGCTATGCTACTGATG